TTTCTTACTGTCACAGCTTTTATGTTGAGATGAGGATAGTTTTTCTTTTTTAATTGCAAAGGCAGTTTTACAGAGAGGAGATTCAGAGAAAAGGATCTTCCATCCACTGACTCACTCTGCAAATGACTGCAACAGCTAGCACTCAGATGATCCAAAGCCAGGATCCAGGAGCTTCTTCCAGGTCTCCCACGTGAGTGCAGGGTCCCCAGGCTTTGGGCCGTCCTGTGCTGCTTTCCCAGGCTCTTTAACAGAAAACTAGATGGGAAGTGGAGCAACTGAGTCTTGAACTCAATTGCCTGTGTGGGATGCTGGATTTGCAGGTAGCTTTAACTGCTACACTCCTTTGCTGGTTCCAGCTCCACTTTTTCATAGGTGTCGATAGAACTTGAGAACAAAAGCAATAAAAAGTTTTGTTTTTTCTTTTTTGATATTGTTATAGCAGCTTTGTTTTTTGAGTTATTTCATACTTGAGAATATCTTGAAATTCAGTGTATGTGTTTATAAAGGGAGAAAATGAGATCTAAAATACTAACAGATTGGGAAAGCTTTGTCTCTGAAAATGAAATTAGAATCATTGTTCGGGCCCGGCGGCGTGGCCTCGCAGCTAAAGTCCTCGCCTTGAACGACCAGGATCCCATATGGGCGCCAGTTCTAATCCCGGCAGCTCCACGTCCCATCCAGCTCCCTGCTTTTGGCCTGGGAAAGCAGTTGAGGATGGCCTAAGGCTTTGGGACCCTGCACCCGCGTGGGATACCCAGAAGAAGTTCCTGGATCCTGGCTTCGGATCGGCATAGCATCGGCCATTGCGCTCACTTAGGGAGTGAATCATCGGCCCAAAGATCTTCCTCACTGTCTCTCATCCTCTCTGTATATCTGACTTTCCAATAAATAAATAAATCTTTTTTTTAAAAAAAGAATCATTGTTTGTTAGAAGTTATAAACTGCTTTTCACCTGTTTTAAACTGAAATCTAAAGCTCCCTCTGGCAGATATATAATATATATTCACTAAATTTCTGAAATTCTTAGATATTATAAAGTTGAGGGTTAATTTCTCTGTACTAATCTATTCCTTATATTCCCATGGTAGGTCATGAGTAATTGGTATAGAAAATTATAGATAGTGACTCATGTAGTACATGGCACATGGTGTACATTTTGTAAATCAATTGTATTTCAATTGCAGCATTTTATAAATGTGCTACTTAGTAAAATAAAAATACTACACTTTAAATAAGACATTTAAATGGCCCTCAGAAAATGTTCTGTTTTCTAGTTGTCAGATCTTTTTAATATTCCAGGCTAATAGGAGAGCTGATTTTGAATATTTTCTCATAGATTCACATGTGAAAATCAGCAAACAGACCTTTGCCACTTGTGTGAAGTGGCTATTTAGCCATGAAACACACTGTGTTTATTGCCATTGCCTTGCAGATACGTTCTTTCTGGCAGTGCTGTCCATATTTGGTGGCTCTGCATGGAGTGCCAGGTGGTGCTGAAAAGCATCGCACAGTGAAGCGTGGATGTATCTAGGGTTGACATTTGTTAGCCCTTACTGCTGAAGGGAAAGGGAAAATCTGTTTTTCCATATGTTTATGCTTTTTTTTTTTTTGCCTGCAGTTTTGTCCAGATGGTCTTATGAACATTGTTTACTTTGGGGTGCTATCCCAGATGTTTGGGAAACTGATGGATAAATGTAGTACAAAGATACATAAATCATTTGTATATTATAGTTTCTACGATATTTATTTGGGTAAGATTAAGATATTGCTGGGAATATTTTTTCAAGTGAATAATGCATATCTAAATATTTATATATAGTTATAATCTATAGTTCTTCAACCATTCTGTTTTTATACTCAAAAGCTTAAAAAAATGGCAGTATTTGTTGAGAGTTTACATACTTTTGAGGAGTTATATTTGTTTGGGGCTGCACAGATCCAAATGTGTACAAATCTTACATAATTCTCACTACATATAAAACACTAAAGACAATTTGAGTGGTTAAATGACAATGGACTTGTAATTACAAGATTACACATTGTGACTTTTGACAGTGATCTTATTTAACCTGTCAGAGACTGGGTTTTGTAAATGTGAAGTGAAAGCCTACCTGAAAAGATAGAATAATGCTTGGATTTTTTTAAAAATTGTTTTTTGTTATTTTCCTTGATAGTTTTGCAGGAAATGCTTGGATTTTAAATACCCCTTCACATTTTGTCTCTAAAAGTCACTGGAATTGTCTCTGTTGGCAGAAGCTATACTCAAGTCTGAATTTGCCTTCTAGGCTCTAGGTAGAATCTTAGACTTAAGCTGACATATTAGTACTACAGGAATCTAGCTAGAAGTTAAAAAGTAAATCTGAGGGGAAAAACACATAAAATGTCCAGGAAATTAATAAGAAGAAAAACAATGGGCGTGAAGGATGATGGCTTGTGGCTATCTGCATTGAGACTGGAATACCTTGGCAGAGGAAGCTCTCAGGGCTGCTCTCAAACGCAAGCATGATGTTCACCATCCCAGGCACTTTACAGTTATCTGCTCGTTTAATCCTCATGAAAAAGATGGAGAGAAGATTTGTGAACCCAGTTGGTTGAAACTGGGGCTGCACATCTATTTTTTTCAGTCACGAATGCCAGCTCAAACCCTGTCTGAGCCAGTGAGCGGGCACAAGTGTGCATGAGCTCAGTGGGAGCATCCACAGGATGGCAGCTTCTCTCTACTGTGCCTGATCTTGGTCTTGGCCCTGAGGACAAGAACCCCTAAGTCCCAGCTTATCTCCCTGGATGCCATTTACAGGGAGGAGGTATTTTAATTTATTCCCCTGGAGAACTCAACAAAAACAGAATAGAGTTCAACTACTGGATCTGTTGTTTATTCTTGTAAATTTTCATTTATGTTCTTTTTTACTTTTTAATTTTTTAAGATTTATTGATTTTTATTGGACAATCAGATATATATAGAGAGACAGAAAAGAAGATCTTGTGTCTACTGATTCACTTCTCAAGTGGCTGCAACAGCTGCAGCTGAGCCAATCTGAAGCCAGGAGCCGGGAGCCTCTTCCAGGTCTTCCATGCAGGTACAGGGTCCCAAGGCTTTGGGCCATCCTCGACTGCTTTCCCAGGCCACAAGCAGGGAGCTGGATGGGAAGCAGGGGTGCCAGGATTAGAACTGGTGCCCATATGGGATCCCGGGCACATTCAAGGCAAGGCTTGTGGCCTGGAAAAGCAGTCCAGGATGGCCCAAAGCCTTGGGACCCTGCACCTACGAGGAAGACCTGGAAGAAGCTCCTGGCTCCAGGTTTTGGATTGGCTCGGCTCCAGCCGTTGCGGCCTTGTGGGCAATGAACCATTGGATGGAAAATCTTCCTCTCTGTCTCTCCTCCTCTGTGTGTATCTGCCTTTCCAATAAAAATAAAATAAATTAAAAAAAAAAACATAAGAGATGAGAGAAAAATAGCATCTCAGCAAAACCAAAACACTGAGAATTTGGGAAAATCCTTGTCAAGCTTCAAAGTATAATCCACCTTCCTCGTCCATGGGTTCTGTGTGCATGAATTCATCAAACCTCAGATTGACAACATTGAAAAAAAAAGTATGTCTGTACAGAATATATGCAGGCTTCTTGACATTCTCTAAACGGGACAAAATAATTCTTTACATGTGTTCCAACTACACTTGATTATGATTCACAGTATTACAGAAGTGTCAGCAGAAGCCTCTGTGACAATGTGTAAATACTGCAATATCATAATCAAGGAATTTCAGCCTCTGTGGATTTGGATGTCCTAAAGCCAGTTTCCACTCAGATAGTGACGAACATCTGTATAACGATTGTGATTTAGAGCAATTTGCTATAAATTACATTTAATCTTGTCAATTCTTAAGTGTTAAGAATTACTGATTTTTAATTATTAAACATATACTTTTCAAGTCTGCATTATAAACATCTAAACTATGCCTCGTGTATCATACACTTAGGTATGTAACTTTTTGTGTTATGACCTAGTAGGGCTCTGAACTTTTAAAAACTTTTTAGACAGTGTTAAGCTTACAGAAAGCTGAAAGAATAGTAGAAAATTTGCCACAATAAGCTGTTCATTTTCATAATGTCATTATTGTTTTTGTGTTTATTGGTTGATATTTTGTTATAAGGAACATGCCCCTTGCCTACTTTTTCTAATTTTAAATGTCAATTCAAATTTACTGAGTCTGTTACAGTACCATATTGGCACCAATGGGAACCGATTCAATATGGTGTCTGTGCATGTTTATGTATTCCCATTACTTTGTATTTCTGTGTTCTGTAGCATAACAAGTGCTGGAGGCTCTTTTTGTATTTTTGCTGCTTCTGACCTAGAGTCAGCGTTTTCTTCAAAAATCCTCATTTTTTTGTGAGCAATGTTATTTAGAAAGTACATTCTTTCTTAGGTGTTTTTCAACTGCATTATTTCACATTCAACTTTTTCGCTGTTGATGTTTTCAAATACTTGTTAATAGGCAAGGCATTGTTAAAGAGTGAAAAAGAAGGAGCTTCTATCCACTGATTCAGTCCCCAGGTGACTGCAATAGCTGAGGTTGGGTTAGGCCAAAGTGGGGAGCCAGAAAACCCATCCAGGCGTTCCATGTAGGTGGCAGGGGCCAAGCACTTGGGCCACCTTCAGTTGATTTTCTCAGGCCACTAGCAGGGAGGTAGCTGTTTCGGAAGTGGAGTAGCCAAGGCACAAAACAGTGCCCATGTGGGATGCCAACAGTGGCAGACAGCAGCTGTTACCTGCTCACATTGAACTTTAAATCATTTGCAAGTTATTCTGTGTTATACTTAAAATTAGCTTCAGTTAATTGTTGTAGCTTAATGGGTAACAACATCAAGCACATTTATGTGTTTGTCCTTGACTTTTCAGGAGCACTCTTCCAAGGAGACAGGCCTTTAGGTAAGACAGCTAAACTACCAAATGATATTTCATTTTGTATCTTACACCCATTGTTTCTCTAACTTGTAGGTGCGGTTTCTAGACTCTTGAAATTTTGTGAAGAAAAATGTGAAGCAAATGAAATAAAGAAGGGAAGAAAAGGCAGCAGTGGATCATCTGTAAAAGGAATTACCAATTTAGGAAATGCTTATCTAAGTGTGAAAGGAATTACCAATTTAGGAAATACTTGCTTTTTTAATGCAGTCATTCAGGTAAAAGTTATCAGAAAGATTTGCAAAATGTAACAGATTGTCATAATTTATTTGACCATTGGCACACCTGTAGACTTTTAGACAACTGCTCAATGTTCCTCTAGAAATTTGTTTTTATTTTGTTTATTTTAGATTATCTTTGGTCACTGTCTTCACCGCTTCCTTCTTTGTGTATAATACTTCAGAAAGGTCATCTGTGTATTTTACAATTGATTTATTAGTAATAATAACATTACCAAATGTGAAATGTACTCAACTAGATATCTTAACATTTTTGATATACTGTATGAAGTTTGAGAATGTATTTCATAAAACCAAATAATCAAATTAGAAGACTTTACTTTTCCTTTCTTTTAGAACTTGGCACAGACTTATATTCTGACTGAACTTATGAATGAGATGAAAGAAAATGGTACGAAATTCAAGATTTTTCCTTCCTTAGACTCTCAGCTGGTGAGTAAGGTTAACTATCTGGATAATAGCTATTTATAGATGAACTGTTGATTTTGCCATAATGTATTCTGCCTGTTTCTAAGAACTCTCAACTAGAATGGTAGTCGGGGGACTTTAAAAACGTATATAATTCAAAAGCATTTTATAGGAGCTGACATTGTGGCTCAGAGGGTTAAGCTATACCTGCAATGCTAGCGTCTCATCCCAGAGTGGTTCAAATCCTAGCTGCTCCATTCTGATCCAGTTGCCTGGTGAGCTTGGGAAGGCAGTGGAGAATGGTTCAGGTACTTGACTCTGTCATCCATGTGGGAGACCTGGATGAGTGACCCAGTCCCAACTATCACAGCCTTTAGAAGAGTAAATCAGTGAAAGATTTCATTTCTTTCTTCTTATTTATTTTTTAAATGCTATTTAATTTTATTTTTGATGATGATTCCTGAGTTGACCAGGTGGGATGGGTCAAGGGTTAAGGGAAAGTGGGTGAGACCATTGTTTCCAGATTTTTTTCTTCTTCCTAAATCTGGGGGACATAGGAAATAATGGGAGAGACCACACCTAGCCTCCCAATTGCCTCAGTACCCAGGGATGGGGAACAGCCACCTGATGTCATCCTTGGGTCCCTGACATGGAACATGCTCTAAGGGTTCTGCCAAGTGGCTTCCATAATTCTGAAACTATGCTGTTGATCTCTCCACTCTAAGGATGAGGAAATTCTTTCAAGGTGCATTGGCTGACATAGTCCACCCGAGTCTCCAATCACTCAGATATGTACTGTCAATACCTGGCTGGGGTGGTTGACCAATTCGTTCTGCCCTGTTCCTCTGCTACGGCACCAGATGTCTGCAGGTCCCAAAGACTGCCATATCCTCCATGTGCATCTGGGTATGCTATCCACTGCTCCATCTGAGCCACTCAGTTCTGACACATGCATTCCACAGTCAGCAAGAACAGTGGCTTTGTCGATGGAAGTCCCTTGGAAGTCATTCCTCACCTGCAACATACTCCCTCAGCAGTCCTCCCTTTCATACATTGCTTTGCCCCTTTCCCTTGTTAATCCGCAGTCCCTGTGTCCAGGAGCACATGGGGTGCTGGGCAACAAATGACACTCATGCAGCCAGCCCAGGCCAGGCTAAAGGCCTGTGGCTCCAAATGGCACATGCATGGGCTGGCACAAGCCAGGCCAGGGGCCCATGCTAGTGCCAAATCCACCCATATATCTTTAAATAAATAAACAAATAAAAAAAATTTTTTAAAGATTTATTTTATTTTTATTGGAAAGGTGGATATACAGAGAGGAGAGACAGAGAGGAAGATCTGCCGTCCCATGATTCACTCCCCAGGTGGCCACAACGGCTGGAGCTGAGCCAATCTGAAGCCAGGAGCCTCTTCCGGATCTCCCACGCGGGTGCAGGGTCCCAAAGCTTTGGGCTGTCCTCGACTGCTTTCCCTGGGCCACAGGCAGGGAGCTGGAAGGGAAGCGGGGTTGCTGGGATTAGAACCGGCGCCCATATGGGATCCTGGGTGTGCAAGGCGAGGACCTTAACCACTGCACCATCGCGCCGGGCCCAACAAATAAAAATTTTAAATATGGGTGATTGGGCCCGGCGCAGTGGCGCAAGTGGTTAAAGGTCCTCACCTTGCACGCCCGGGATCCCATATGGGCGCCGGTTCTAATCCCGGCAGCCCCACTTCCCTTCCAGCTCCCTGCCCGTGGCCCGGGAAGGCAGTTGAGGACAGCCCAAAGCTTTGGGACCCTGCACCCATGTGGGAGACCCTGAAGAGGCTCCTGGCTTCGGATCGGCATAGCATCGACCCGTTGCGCTCACTTGGGGAGTGAATCATCGGATGGAAGATCTTCCTCTCTCTCTCTCCTCTCTGTATATCCACCTTTCCAATAAAAAAAATAATAAAAATAAATCTTTAAATATGGGTGATTACGTAGGCATACTGGTATAGTTAACACAATGAATACAGTTGACAATGAATAAACAAAGTTGGAAGGGAAGAAAATTCCAAAGTAAAGCATGTTAATCCTTCACACAATTTAACTGTTTTTGTCAAGCTTTGTCTCCTTTGAAAGAGGATGTGATTGTTGTTACATAATTCCTCTTTCTTAATTTTATTAGCAAGAAATTTAGGCCTAGAAACTATGTGGAGTTCTATTAATTTTGTGATTGTGAGGATGTATAGGTAAAAAATGAATAATTTTATTTGTAAGAGAGCCCTTTAAAGGAACAGTTACAGGCAACTAAAGATTTTTTTTTTTAAGATTTATTTTATTTTTTTATTGGAAAGGCAGATATACAGAGAGGAGAGACAGAGAGGAAGATCTTCCGTCCGATGATGCACTCCCCAAGTGAGCGCAATGGCCCATGCTATGCCAATCCGAAGCCAGGAGCCTCTTCTGGGTCTCCTACGCGGGTGCAGGGTCCCAAAGCTTTGGGCCGTCCTCGACTGCTTTCTCGGGCCACAGGCAGGGAGCTGGAAGGGAAGTGGGGTTGCTGGGATTAGAACCGGTGCCTATATGGGATCCCGGGCGTGCAAGGTGAGGACCTTAACCACTGCACCACCGCGCCGGGCCTGCAATTAAAGATTAATTTCATTCAAGCTAATGGTTTAATTAATGGTAGAATATGAAAATATCTGTGATTTTCAAGGCAAGGCATTTAGTCCTATTTTCACTTTTCCTATATTCATTTTACATATGAAGGAATAAATTTTATTTATTCCCTTGAGTTTAGTATATGTTACATCACTGTAGGCTCTTAATATTTTACTGTAAAGTTGTGTATTCCTGATGCAGTTAATCATGTTTTGAAGGACCCGCTGGTGGTGGAACTTTCCAGCCCTGGACCGCTGACCTCAGCTTTGTTCCTGTTTCTTCACAGCATGAGGGAGACTGAAAAAGGTCCACTTTCTCCAAAAGTCCTTTTCAGTCAGCTTTGTCAGAAGTGAGTACATAGTTTTAATGTAAATAATCATGAGTTCCAAAATACAAATATATTCATCATTAAGAGTTGTATTACAATTTGCTATTACTGCCTGAAGTTTCAAGAGGAAGAACCATTGGTTGAGTTGCAGCTCTGTGCTTTTTGTAAATCATGTCTCATGACCCTATGAAGAAGTGATCATCTGTCTCCATTATATGTGTAAGACAATGGAGACTCAGAGAAGTAGCCTATGTGGTCTGAGAGTGAAAGGCCTTGGAACCAATTAGACGTCAGTCCTGACTGACAACTGTTATGTCATCCTGTAAGGTGGGAAAATCAGAATTACAAAATCTAGAAACTACCATATCAGATCATGTAATTCACCTGGCTGCTTGTTTTTAAAATTTTATTTATATCAAAGCCCATAGAGAAATAGATTAACAGAGATCCTCCATCCACTGGTTCAGTCACCAGAAATGCATGCAATAGGCCTGGCTGGGCCAGGACAAAGCCAGGAGCACTTGGGATATGGGTCTCTTGCCATATGTGTCAGGAACGCAAGTGCAGGGTACATATCCACAGAAAGCCAAAATTAAAGGCAGAGCCAGGACTTCAACTTAGGCCCTCCAGTATGAAGCATAGATAGCTCAAGGATTTTCTTTCTTTCTTTGAAGATTTATCTTATTGGAAAGGCAGAGTTAGAGAAAGATCTTTCATGCTCTGATTCACTCCTCAAATGGTCACAACCATTGTGGCTGGGCTCACCTGGAGTCAAGAGCTTAATGTGGGTCTCCTTCGTGGATGCAGTGCCCAGACACTTGGGCTATCTTTTGCTGCTTTCCCAGGGAGCTGAATTGCAAGTGAGGCAGCCAGGGTTTCAGTTGATGCCCATTTCGGTTGCTAACATTGCATGTAGCAGCTTTATGTGTTATAGCACAATGTTGGTCCCCAAGTAACTTCTTAACCACAACAACAAATACCTACAGCTTCATAATTTGGTAGATGATTTTGAGTCAGGGTTTAAGTGAGTTTCTCAAGATATTATAGCATGTTTAAAAACAAAATCCTTAAATGCCTGGAAATAAATACTGTAAAGTACCTTATTATTTTTTTTCTTTTTATAGATTTATTTATTTGAAAGGCAGAGTTACAGAAAGAGGTTAGGGGGAGGAAGAGACAGAAAGATATCTTCTGTCTGCTAGTTCACTCCCCAAATGGCCACAACAGGTGGAGCTGGCCCCAGTCCAAAATCAGGAGCCAAGAGCTTCTTCCAGGTCTCCCAAGTAGGGAACAAGGCCATCCTCTGCTGTTTTCCCAGGCTCATTAGCACAGAGCTAAAAGGGAAGTGGAGTACCCAAGACTTGAACTCGCATTCATTTGGGGTACAAACACTACAGGTGGCAGCTTTTACATGCTGTGTCAGGACACAGATCCCAACCTCGTTTACTTTAATGCACTTGTTTATCTCATATCTGAAAAACTGAGCAGCTGCCTTATGTCAATTTGCTAGAAATCAGAAGCACAAAATGTATAATTTATTAATAATGGACCCTGTGCTCCTCATGGAACTACTAAAATTATGCAGTCTACAATACTGAAATAATTAGGAAGAAGGTTATTTATATGTGAACTCAGTATATTTTAAATAGACTTCAAAATATTGAATGCTTTGTGAGTTTTGTTTGGCTGGAAAAAATCTGTTTCTTCAAAGCCTGAAGACCAAAAAACCTTAAAAATCTCATGGAGTTAAAAGGTTTTTAGGGGTCAGGTATTTGGTGTTATTGTTGGGATGCTACCTAGATAGCGTGCCAATATCCCAGGTTGGAATGCCTGCGTTCGAGGCCTTGCACCGTTTCCAATTTCAGATCTCTACCTGTGGACATCCTGGAGGCTGAGGGTGATGGCACAACTACTTGGGGTCCCGCCACCCATGAGGAGGGCCTTCATGAGTTCCGGACTCCTGGCTTCAGCTGGCCCAGCCCCTGGGGTTGTGGGCATGTGCATGGTGGATTTCTGTCTCTATCTCTGCTTTTCAAACACATTTAAAAAAATTTAGAACATTATTTGCCATGGAAATATCTTTGACTCTGCCAAAACTTTTATTTATACAATTTCTTCCTGGTTTTATACAAATTGAAGAGATTAAAATTGAAGTTACAATTTTACAGTACATTCAAATTATCAAAATTCAAACTCCTTTCTTTTTATTCCTCAGAATTAACTACAACAGAATGAGTGTCTCTTATGTGGAATTCTTGGGCTCTGAAGTGCTTCAGATTTTTAAATTTGGAAGATTTTTTTTTCAGTATTTGCATATACTCTTTGAGTTACTTAAGGGTCAGACTCCAAGTCTAAGCTTGGAGTTCATTTATGTTTAATAGACTTTATACACACAGGCTGAGCGTAATTTTCCTTAGTGTTTCTGGATGGCGCTTGTATAATCTTATTGCAGTCTCAGTGGAATTTTCTATTTGTTGCATCTTGTGCTCAGATAACTTCAGACTTTGGAGCAATTGAATTTTGAATTTTTGTATTAGAGATGCTTCGCTTGTATTTGTTTTTTTTTTTTTTCTTTTTGATAGTGATCATGCATATACATTTATAAATTGTACTTTGCTTGTTGTGATTGATTTTATACATCTTTCATATTTGTATGTAGCTGTAATTTTTATATGTATATATGTGTTATTGCCCTTATGAAGTACATCAGTGAGATAAATTCTTACAAATAGAATAGTTATATCAAGTATTTTAAAAACTTAAAAATTTGTTTCATTGCATTTAGCTTTTTAATTTTTAATTTTTTAAAAAATATTTACACAATTGAGAGGGATGGATGCCCATGTGGGCCTCTAATTAGGGCGGGGAGGGTCGGGTATAGAGTAAGGTATAAAGATTTGTTTTAGGTCTTTTTTTTTCTGTGCCCACACGGGAGAAGGGGACCACTCTGCTGTCAAAATACAACAGCACCCAAGGATGGGGGACAGTCATCTGATGATACCTTAGAGACCCTGGCGTGGGAAAGAGTGTTTGAGGGCATTATTTGATAGTTCTGAGAAGTTGTTGGTTTTTCTGTTTCAAGGTGAGAAAATCTTTCCAAGGTCTGTTAGTTGACTAAGTCCACCTTCGTGCATTCACAGACCCAGGAACGTGTTGCAGAACTTGGCCAGGAGAATTGTCTAAACTGTTCTACTTTCCTTCCTCTAAAGAGGCACTCAACATCCTCTGCTGGACTAGATGAGCTGGCCATCATGTCCCACATGTTCATGTGGACGTGCTGTCCGCTACACAGGCATCAGTAACTGAGGAGACTCATTCTGATACATGCACACCAAGGTTGGGCCACAAATCATGTAATTTTTCCCTGTGGCTAGGGTCTGAGTCCAGTGATCTAGTCAGTGAGTCCCCCAACAAACCTCATCTGGGGTGACCTCAGGCTTGACTCTTGTGTGCACCAGCCAGTGCAAGGTCAGGTTTGATCCATCACCTCCATCAGCCAACATATATACCAGTAGGTGCAGCTGTCTGGTCAGTTCCATACAGCTCCATCTCTCATGTGAACTGAGAGGTATTGTGGCCCAACCTAACCAGATCAACCCAGACCAGGTTCTCACATATACCAGTGGGTGCCTCAGCCTAGTAAGGAAGCTCTCAATGACCCCCATTAGGTCCACCCCAGGTCTGGTTTTTGTATATACCAGCCTTTGCTGTGGCCTGGCCTGGGCCAGTCTGTAGCACATCCAACTCTCAAGCACCCATGGGTACTGCAGCTTAGCTCAGCCTGACCAGCCCCAGACCTGGCCCTCACATATACCGACAGGTGCTGCCATCCTGTCTGGCCCATCTCCAGCCCTGTTTGTTTGTTTGTTTTTCAATGTCAGGTTTATTTGGGCTCATTTCTTTTTAAAGAGGAGTAATTGTCTTAATTTATTTTTATTACATAGTAATTATTTCCCCCAAAGTTAAAGGTGAGTAGTCACAAACAGAATAGTCACTTTTTCATTCCCCACTCCACTGTAACAATCCCACCCTAGTTACAATACATTTAAAACAGCAATGTTACGTTCAATGGAAATTTTCTAAAGTTTTTTTTTTAAACTTAGCAATTTATAGTATTCAAACAAGATTTTACAGAACTTTGTGCATTCTAGGGTAATCAAAAGAGTCTCATAACTCTAACAAGCCATAAATTAACAAATGAAGGATAGAACAGTCTTAGGAGGGGTGTGCAGAGGAATCTGCAATAACTTAGCAAGTGAGGAATAACTGAACTCTACATCCTGCCTAGAGAGGTCTAGGAAAAGCCAAATCGGGAGCCTGACCAGTAAGGTGTAGGCTGAGCAATTATAGGCCAGACGACTTCTTCCTGTCCAAAAGTTTCTATATTAGTCTCTCTCTGTCTATCTGAGCTAATTTTGCAGTTCCTGAGCGACCCTGATGCTCAGTGCAAGAGAGGATGGAGAGCCAAAGCTGTAACTGAGTAAGGACCAGAAGGAAATTTACAATTCTTCTATCTCTGCAGACCACCTGGGGATCCTGGCTGTTGTTCTGATGTCAACAGGGTCTATGAAGAGGGTTCTACAGCCCTGTTTCTTGTGCTTGCCAGCGATAGGTACAGCTTAGCAGGGGAGAGCCCACAGTTCCCCTAGAAGGCATGTTCCCATTCCCAGATCTTGCTGGGAATATTGCAGTTAGCCTGACAGGACTTGCACCCAGTCCTAGCACTTGCCAGCTGGTGCTGTGGCCTGGCCTAACATGCTCGCCCATATTCATTCTGGCTGTCATGCACACCAGTGAGTGAAGCAGCCTAGCCCAGCCTGACCTTCCCCCAGCATTTACTTTTAGAAAGATATATTTTAAGGTAATTTTTTAAATCTTGGTACAGATTTAAGCCATGTTTATCTATTTCAAAAATCATTCTGTTCCATTGATCTACATGTCTATCTTTTCCAAATACTCCACTGTTCTAATTACTTAGCTTGAGTCCTTGAAGTTTGCCTTTTTCAAACTTTTCTAGATCCTTTGCTTTATTTTCTCAATTTTAAAACTAGATGGTCATTTGGGATTGTATTGAATGTATTGATTTGGGAAGAACTTGATGTCTTAAGAATGAATAGCAAAAAAAAAACAAAATAGCCAATCTTTAAATCACTTGTATCATTTCAATTATTGATGCCTTTATTTTTTTTTCTCAACGGTGTTTATAGTTTTCAGAACAAATTCTGCTTATATTTTGTCTCATTTATTTTAAGATTTTAATGTTCTTATGCTACTTTTATAAATGACATTTTTAGATTTTTTTTCAAAGGTCTCTATTGACAATACGTAGAAATATATTTGGCTTATATATATATGCTTTGTTATCTTGTTCAACTCACTTGCTGTTCTTGCAAGCTTTATGTAGATTCTTTGGAATTTCCTGTTGGAGAATAATGCCATTGCTAATGAAGACCATTTTATTTCTTTTTTCCAAACTAATCCTTTTATATCTCCTTTCACTTGACTCTCAATATAAAGTTAATAAATGAAAGTGAACATCTTTGCTTTATTCATAATGGCAGGAGAGCATTCAGTCTTAAAATATGATAATGACAACTGTAGGCTTTTTCAAAGGTGCCTTGCATCAAAATTGAGGGAATTTTTATTAGTAGAAGAAGCTAGATCAGAGGTGGAGTAGCCCAGACTGGAACCAGGCATTTCTATATGGGGTGCAAGAAATCGAAGAGAAGTTTCAATTGCTTTGTGAAATGCCTGCCTCAGTCTGGTGTTTTTTGTTTGTTTGTTTTAAGGTTCATTATTTATTTGAGTGAGCTACAGAGTCTCAAGTGGGAAAGATATCTGCTGATTTACTCCAAATGACAACAATAACCAGGGTTGGGACAGGCTAAAGCCAGGAATCTTCTTCCTAGTCTTCTACAAGGATGGCAGGGGTGCAGTATTTGGATCGTGGTCTGCTGCTTTTCCCAGCCATTTGCAGGAAGCTGGATCAAAAGTGGGACAGCCAGGACATGCACCATCAGCCAAACAGGATAATGGTGTTGCAGACAGCAGCTTTATCTACTACACTGCAGTGTCACTGCCCCACTCCAGTCTGTATTTTAATATAAAAGAGTTCTGCTTTTCTTTTGATTATATATAGTAAGAGTATAATTAATCACAGTAAATGAGGCTTGAATACTGTTCTGTGGCTAGTTGTATGACCTGGCAAATTAAACAATCCCTTTCAGTTCTTATATGTCAGCTGTAAAATCAGTACATCCAGGACCAGTGCCATGCCCAGTAGGCTAAGCTTTTGCTTGTGGCCCTGACATCTCATGTGGGTATTTGTCGTGTCCAGCTGCTCCACTTCTGATCCAGCTCCCTGTTTAAGGCCTGGAGAAGCAGCAGAGAATCGCTGAAGTCCTTGGGCTCTTGTACCCACATGGAAGAAACTCTTGGCTCCTGACTTTGGACCTGCTCAGATCTCTGTAACTGTCTTTCAAATAAAAGTAGAGGGTTTTCTTTTTTTTGCTTTTTTTTTTTTTTAAAGAAAAATAGTGTTTCCAGAAAAAGTTACACGTACAATGCCTGGCACTAAGCTTGTCATGTATATAGTGATTGCTTCATAAATGGTAACCATATCCTTAGTGCACACTTGAGATCTCATCCTAACTGAAACAGTAAACCCATTTTCTTTCTATTTCATTGAGAAAGTAGGAAATTGAAGCTTTGATTCTGTCATTTCAAAGTGGTTATATATTAGAGTAACATATTGTTGATCAGCACTGGAATAATGACTTTTTCCTTCCTGTTTTGCTTTTAATCATAGGGCACCTCGGTTTAAAGATTTCCAACAGCAGGACAGCCAAGAGCTTCTCCATTACCTGCTGGATGTTGTGAGGACAGAAGAAACAAAGGTCAGCTCTCTTGTTTATTGCCTATTCCCTTTGAGAAGACAATACAAACTGAAAAGACTAATTTCTATTGTAACTTAAAAAATGAGACCCAGAAAGGGAGAGGTTGCATGCACTGGTTCATTGCCCATATCTCTACAATAACCAAGACTGCCAGGCCAAACCTAGTAGTCGTAAACTCCGAGTCTCCTGTATAAATGACAGGAACCCAATTATTTGAGCCCAGGGTCTGCAATGGTGCAAAGCTGGAATCAAGAACTAACTGTAGCTAGTTTGGGCTGCGGGCATTTTAATTGCTAGAATAACCTGCCACCACCAGCAGTTTCTCCTATAATTAATGTTAAAGATTTACTTATTTACTTATTTTTATTGGAAAGGTGGATTTTACAGAGAGGAGAGTCAAAGAGAAAGATCTTCCATCCACAGGTTCACTCCCCAAATGGCAGCAGTGGCTGGAGCTGAACTGATCCAAACCAGGAGACAGGAGTCTGCTTTGGATCTCCCATGCAGGTGCAGGGTTCCAAGACTTTCAGCAGTCCTCCACTGCTTTCCCAAGCTGTAAGCAGGGAGCTGGATGGGAAACAGAACATCTGGGACAGGAACTGGTGCCTACACAAGATGTTGGTGCTTAGAGTTGGAGGATTATCAAATTGAGCCATTGCACCAGCCTCTTCTATATGAAATTACTTTTTTACAAAATTATATTTTTTAAAAAAATAAGTAATTTGGTCCTGCTGTGATGGCTCAATGGCTAAATCCTTGCCTGCCAAGTATAAATGAATTGCTCGTAAGTGTTTGGCAAGATGAAATCTCCCTAAACTTCTACTTTACAAAAGAAATACTACTTAGAATTTCAATATTGCAGTACATCTATACTTTTTTTTTTTGAAGGCTTATTTAACATGAACAAATCACAGCGAGAGAAAGAGAGACAGGTTTTACATTCAGTAGTTCACTTCCTAGATGGCTACAACAGCCATTGATCTGAAGCCAGGACCCAGGAGCCTCTTCTGGGTCTCCCATGTGGGGATTTCATCTCTCTTCCACTGTTTTCCCAGGCAGTGAATTGGATAAGGAAGTGAAACAGCCAGAACTAGAACCAGTAATCATGTGGGGTGTTGGTTCTACAGGTAGAGGATTATCTTGCTACATCACTGTTCTGGCCCAACCTCCTCCTTTTTTTTTTTTTTTAAGATTTGTTTATTTTTATTGGAAAGGCGGATATACAGAGAAGAGGAGAGACAGAGAGGAAGATCTTCCATCTGATGGTTCACTCCCCAAGTGACCGCAATGGCTGGAGCTGTGCCAGTCCGAAGCCAGGAGGTCTTCCGGTTCTCCCACACGGGTGCAAGGGTCCCAAAGCTTTGGGCCGTCCTCGACTGCTTTCCCAGGTTAGAAACAGGTAGCTGGATGGGAAGCGGGGCTGCCGGGATTAAGAATCAGTGCTCATATGGGATCCTGGTGCATGCAAGGCGAGGACTTTAACCACTACACTGTCTCGCCGGGCCCTGGCCCTACCTTGTAATGCCAATTTTCAATGAGGAGAAATTTAGGGATCTAATATTTTCTTACAAGTGACCTTAAAAAAATGAGTTCGTCACTGCCTTATATTATGGTGTGTGTTACAATCCATCTATAACAGGTTATTTTTAGACTTTCACATTAAATTCATTGAATTCAGGGTCCGACATGGTGGCGTAGTGGCTGGGGTCCTCACTTTGCATGTGCCAGGATCCCATATGGGCACTGGTTCTAGTCCCGGCAGCCCCACTTCCAATCCAGCTCTTTGCTTATGGCCTAGGAAAGCAGTCGAGGACAGCCCAAAGCCTTGGGACCCTGCACCTACATAGGAGAACTGGAAGAGGCTCCAGGCTCCTGGCTTCGGATTGGCACAGCTCCAGCCATTGAGGTCACTTTGGGAGTGAATCATGGGATGGAGGATCTTCCTCTCTGTCTCTTCTCTTCTCTTTATATGTATATCTGACTTTGCAATAAGAATGAATAAATCTTAAGAAAAAAATTCATTGAATTCAGTTTTTGAAGATGTTACCATCTTCCTGCCACCTGTCAGCTCTTTTTTTTTTTTTTTTAATTGTTGCTTACATTATATTATGTAGTACAGTTTTATAGGCGCTGGGGATCCCCCCCACCCCTCCCATACCCCTCCCCCCATGGTGGATTCCTCCACCTTGTTGCATAACCATAGTTCAAGTTCAGTTGAGACACCTGTCAGCTCTTATGTATTTTGATTATGAACCCTGCTGCCCTCTGTGTTCTCTGTCACCTTCCTTACTTTGGGGTCCCTGTGAGGAATGGCACTGTGTTATCTCTAGCTCGTGTGCCGGGTTCATAGAGGTTTTGTGACTGCTTGTGGAATGGCAGCCACTTGTGAGGATTGTTAAGAAAACCAGAACAGTCTTGTAATTATAGCAGCTGCTTTCTTGAGGATTTGTAATGATGTTGATTATATTGTGAACTGTAAAAAGTGGTGAGTTAACAGGATTATGCTGCATTTTGGTTTTGTCTATATTTTGTTTAAAAATCGATGAAGATATTTATAATTAAATTTGGGAAACATTGGCATAATCACCATATGTTCATATTTGATCACATTTTCTTAGTTTCAGAGCTGGTAACTTAGAATTTCAAACTCAGATCTGTTAGTCTGTAAGAAAGTATATTCCGTCTCATTCTATACAATACTAAATACCAAAGTTGAGTTTTAGTGCCTAATCACCCACACTCAGTTTAAATAATGTTAATTTTAATGATTCCACTATTTTTAGAGAGCTGTTAAGTGTGATCCAGTAAGTATGATCTATTGATAAGCATATTGGGGAAGTTGATCGATGGTTGTGAGGTAGGGTGAGATTGCTCTTTCATTAGGAATAGTAAATGCAGCATGATGCCCAAGGGCCTGTGAGTGATGTCAGATTAAGATTGATCATTCTCAATTGCTACGATGATTTTTTTCTCCCTATGTTTTACAGTATTTTTTTTTTTACTTCATAATGGCCATGTATCATTTTTAATTGTTTACCTCTTTTGCTTTGGGTTTCTCCGTTGATATTGCAAATGGAATGATAAAATTATCCATCCTTTTCTTTCTTCTGTGTTACTTCTACAATTTGATGGTGATGTTTCCTACAGTGACGTGATTATTTGCTCTTAAAAGTGCATTTGGATGCACATTATCTTAAAGACTCACGCAGCACAGCCAGACATGCTGGCTTTGAAAGCTGTGATCTTCCTCTTAAAGCTTCAGAGGGTGTGGCAAAATCAAAATGTCAAGTCTGTGGGTCCATTCAGTCTCTTGGGGGAGGAGATTCATGGCAGGCAGCTACAGTGTGTCCCCAGCGAGGAGCTGCATTGTCTGGCCTGGGAATGCCACAGCTGCTAATCGCGCTGCTGTTGTCCCGTGTCACTGCCATGTGTTCTGTGATTGAAGAACGGCTGCTGTGTTAGGTCTGCCACCAGAATCCCAGTGATGATTAAAAACTACTGACCTCTTTTCATGTGGTTTCATTAACATTTTTTCCCTGTCTATAAAGTTGAAGAATATTCTTGCTGAACCCAGTGCTAAATGAATCATTGTACAGAAATTATTTATTTACAAAAGAAATTTGTGAGAAGTGGTTCTTTTCCAGGCAGTCTTCTTAACTTATAATGTGCTTCTTTGCTTTTTCTGTTTTAATTTGAGCTGTCACTAAATTAATGATATTACATTTGTATTATCCTTGAGATATATCCCTTTAATGCAGTGCAGGCTAAGATGATTTTAAAATAAAACATCTCAGGTAACTTGAATTACACTTTATTTGCATTCTTTGGTTTGAAAGGTAATTAAAATGGAGACTTGAACCTTGGTTCTGCTGATTAATGTTCTACAGTTGACAGCAGCTCCCTACCCAAAGTCTGTATCTTTTTTTTTGTTTGTTTGTTTTATTCATCTTGGTGAATCAATTAGCGTAGAGCAGAAAATATAAATTCCTGGGGAGGATAAAATCAAACAAGGTTAATATTTAAAAATTAATAACTGATGTAACTTCATTGTTTTTTTCTTAACATGTGATATCACAGCTAATTCTTGTTTATTAAAAAAGAAGGTGATACAACATTTCACAGTGTAACAAAAGTACATCAAAACCATTGAAAGTTTTGTCTGAATTAGCAAAAAGTTCAAGTTGTAGAATGAATTTAGACATTTCAAGGTTAAGGTATAGGTCTTCTTGTTTAGTTGTCTGAAAAGCTATTTATAGTTCTTAACTATTTACAGGTGAGCTTCGGTAATTTTCACAATTTTTCATTTTGAGGTGTTAAATATTTTTTCCTGTAGAACCTATACCACTTTAATTTGCTTATTTTAATTTAAATTTTTTTAAATGTGACAGTCATTTTTAAACAATTCTGGATTATTTCAGATTTTTTTAGTCTGAATTGGAGCTTATTTTTAATATTTCTTAGCTCTGTGAAAGTTCTTACTTTCAAAAGCAGAGAGAGAACTCTTGTTCACTTAACCAAATCCCTGAGATGGCTGGTGGGCCCCCGGACTAGGGCTGAGGCTGAGAACCATGCACTCCATTCAAGTGTCTTGTATGGGAGAGTAGCAGGAACCCAGTTACTTGGGCCATCACTGCTGCTTCCCAGGGTCTTCATCGGCAGAAAGCCGAAGTCAGGAATTGGAGTTGGGCAATCAAACCCAGATTCTCTGAAGTGGGATGGCTTAAGCAGCAGAGTAAATGTCTGGCCCCAGGGGACATTTATTGTTTTTTTATTTTCTTAGCGTATATTTCAGGACAGTATATATTTTTTAATGTTTTGAATATTGCATTGATGTTCAAAGTATATTTGAACGGCCTGGCATGGTAGCCTAGTGACTAAAGTCCTCCCTTTGCACGCACTGGAATCCCATATGGGCACCAGTTGTAATTCCGACTGTTCCACTTCTCATCCAGCTTCCTGCCTGTGATCTGGAAGAGCAGTCAGGGATTCTGCTTCATTTAAAAAGAGAAAATCACACCATAACTATCTGAAAGATCATTTTTCCACCTGTTAGATTGGCAAAAATTTTCAACTTTGACAGCTCACTCTTTTGGTAAGGCTTTGGTGACCAATTTTCACACATTAATGCTCCTGAAAGAAGTGAGAACCATAGGAAATGAGGTTGTGGAGCAGCAGGTGGAAGCTGCAATGCCAACATCCAATATCAGAGTTCCAGTGACGTTGCTTTCCATCCACCCACTGCTGTTGCATCTGGGAAAGTAGCAGAGGATGTTCAAGCACCTGCCGTTGTGGTCACTTGAGCAGTGAAGCAACGGATGGAAGATCTTCCTCTCTCTTCCTTTCTGTATATCTAACTTTCCAATAAAATAAATAAATCTTTTTTTTTAAAGATTTATTTTTATTATTTTTTTTATTGGAAAGGTGGATATACAGAGAGGAGAGACAGAGAGGAAGATCTTCCGTCCGATGATTCACTCCCCAAGTGAGCGCAACGGGCCGATACTATGCCAATCCGAAGCCAGGAGCCTCTTCCGGGTCTCCCACGCGGGTGCAGGTTCCCAAAGCTTTGGGCCGTCCTCAACTGCTTTCCCAGGCCACAGGCAGGGAGCTGGAAGGGAAGCGGGGCTGCCGGGATTAGAACCAGCGCCCATATGGGATCCCGGGCGTGCAAGGTGAGGACCTTTAACCACTTGCGCCACCGCGCCGGGCCCAATAAATAAATCTTAAAATAAAAAGTTATCAGGTAGCTTCTCAGATACTAATGATACTCCAAGTTTTTTTTTTTTTTGTTTGTTTGTTTGTTTGTTTTTTCCAAAAGCAGATTTTACAGAGAGAAGAACCCGATTTTTCATTCCCTGGTTCACTCCTCAAATGGCCATGGCCAGAGCTGAGCTGATCTGAAGCTGGGAGCCAGGAGCTTTTTCCCAGTCTCCCATGTGGGTGCATGGTCCCAAGGACTTAGGATATCCTTTGATACTTTCACAGGCCTTAGCAGACAGTTGGATTGGAAGAGAAGCAGCCAGGACACAAACTGGCACCCATATGAGATGCCTGTACTAGCAGGCTGATTTCGGCCTGTTACACCAGGGTGCTGGCTCTACGATCCTCTATTTTTAACCTGTAGAATGGTGATGGGGAGACAAGATTGCAGAAAATGATTTTTCTTGTTTTATATTGAACTGCATATTTACAAATCTTCTTTGTATAATATATGACTTTGTTTCAAAATAGATTTTCAACACCCCCCTCATAATTGTGAAACCGAATTTATTAATTGGACTATGGCTAGCACATTATAGTTCCTATAACTGCTCACTATTCTCTTCAAATATACTTAAAAAATTTTTTAAGGTTTATTTAAATTGGAAAGGCAGATATACAGAGAGGAGATGCAGAAAGATCTTCCATCCGCTGGTTCACTCTCCAAGTGGCCACAACAGCCAGAACTGAGCCAATTTGAAGCCAGGAGGAGTCAGGATCATCTTTGGATCTCCCATGTGCGTGCAGGGTCCCGAGGTTTTGGGCCATCCTCGACTGCTTTCCTAGGCCGCAAGCAGGGAGCTGGATGGAAAGTGGGGCAGCCATGATTAGAACCGGCGCCGATATGGGATTCTGGCATGTGTACCACCCCAGGCTGTCTTTTTTTTTTTTTTTAAAAAAAAAAGATTTGCTTTATTTTACTTGAAAGAGTTATAAAGAGAGGGAGAGACAGATCTCCTGTGCACTGGTTCACTCCTCCAAATGACTGCGATAGCCTGAGCCGGGTCAGTCTGAAGCTGGGAACCAGGAATTCCTTCAGATCTCCCAGTTCTGAACAAGGGCCACATGGCCCTTGAGCCATCTTCTGCTGCTTTCTCAGGTTCGTTAACAAGGTTCGTTAAGTGGAGCAGCTGGGAGTGAAACTGGTTGGTGTCCATATGAGAGGTAAATGTCCTCAGTAGCTCTTAATAAATGACAAGGTCATGTTTCTCAATTTGTTATGTACACAGGTATTTGAAAAAAAAATCATGGAAATGGTATTTTAAAATACAGGGTTTTTTTTTTTTCTGCTTACATTGGCACATTTATTGAACTCCATACTGTTTTTTTTTTTATGATGTGCAAACTCTTTTCTACAATATCTGTCCTGTTTTTTCAAACCCGTATTATGCTTCATGAAAATAATTTGAAACTTTCTCTTTTGTTTTTCTGTTCCCTGGAATATGCATTTTTGGCATTCCCGTGTTGAGGAACATCCTTTGTTAGGGCCTTGGGTTTTCATAAAACTACTGTTTAGCAACATACTTCTTCCTCACATGATAGTTTGAAGGTTTGCTGCCTCACCTGGGGTTAATTTTAATAACTTTGTTTTTCTGGAAAATGTTGAGATTGCACCTCTTATGTTTTAAAATGTGTTATATGTGAGTTGGAAAAGGTAATCTCTCGGTTGTTTATAATTTAGGGGCCGACATTGTGCTGCAGCAAGTAAAGCCACTGCCTGCCTGACACTGGCATGCCGTGTGAGATCTGGTTAGCGTCTCTGCTACTCCACTTAGGATGTCCTTGGGAAAGCAGAAGAGGATGGCCCAATGCTTGGGCCTGCTGCCCACCTCAAAGTCAAACTGGAGCTCTGTCTCCTAGCGTGGGGCCAGTAGGAGAGTGAACCAGCGGATGCAAAAATCTGTTTCTCTGCCTTTGTCTTTAATTATACCTTTCAAATTGACAAATACATCTTTTAAAAAGTAAAATGCTTTAACTGGGTTAGTGGTTTCTCATTTCTGAGGTGTTGTGCTAACTTTTCACCCTTGCCTAGGGCTAGCTAGTGGATTTATTTATCCCCCAAGTAAAAATTAGCTTTCAGTTTGTTAGTTGTCTTCATACTTAGTTTTAACAGCCTTTTTCTAAATTTGAGTTGGCTACTTAATTTGCTTTTATGTTTAATTAATTTGAATATTTAAGGCTAAAATAGCTTAGATTCTGATATTGTGTTTATTCTCTGGGAAGTCTGCAGCTGGACTTTAATTTCTCTTCAATATAATTTTTGACATGTGAAAACCTCTAGTGGGGCAGGAGCTGAGACTGTGGCTAACACACCTCTATTCTGCATTATAGTGCCTGTATTCAGTTGCTGACTGGAGCTTCTGACTCAGCAGATTTCCCTTGGGGGCAGCAGTGATGGCTAAAGCAACTGGGTCTCTGTCATCCACGTGGGAAGCCTGAGTCACCTTTCCTTTCCTGGCTTCAGCCTTGGCCTATATATACCTGTTGCAAATAAGTAAGCAAAAGTTAAAAGTCTGTGAAACTTAAACCTTGTGATCAAGAATTTCAAATTATATTTTGAAAAGCTACTTACAAACTTCCCTTTCACTCACTGTCATATTAATTACAGAAGAAGAAAATACATCCTCAAAATAAGGGTACAGGTAGTGTGAGAGACCACTGTTATTGACTTAAATAAATGGTCATGTTCAGAATTTGTAGTTTTATGTAATTTTTGAAGCTTTCTGAGAGGGATCTTTCATAATAAATTACAAGGAGTTCTTAAAAACATAAAAAATGCACATGATGAAAAAACTGATTCAAAAAATGCTTGTACCAATGTAAGCAGGAAAAAAACCCTTTTTTTTTTAATACTTTTTCTGTGAATTTTTTCAAATACCTAATACGTAAATACATAAGAAATCAAGAAATATAAGTCTTGTCATTTACTAAGAGCTACTGAGGACATCCACCTTTGGTGAAACCTAAATTCACATAAAACCACAGTTAAAATCTGGGGATTCTGCTTGCTGTGGTTGATTGATATTCTGGACTATAGTCATATGTGTACATAAATAAGTGAGTTTGTTAAGATCATAAATATTTTAGGCCCAGCGCGGTGGCATAGTGGCTGGGGTCCTAGTCTTACATACATCAGGATCCCATATGGCTGCTAGTTCTAATCCTGGCAGTCCCACTTTCCATCCAACTCCCTGCTTGTGGCCTGGGAAAGCAGTCGAGGATGGCCCAAAACCTTGGGACCCTGCACCCACGTGGGAGACCCAGAGGAAACCCTGGCTTCTGGCTTCAGATTGGCTCAGCTCTGGCCATTGTGGTCACTTGGGGAGTGAAATCAGCGGATGGAAGATCTTCCTCTCTGTCTCTCCTCTCTGTATATCTGACTTTCCGATAAAAAAAAAACTTTTAAGAAAAAAAAAGATCATAGAAGCTTAGCAGGTAAATCTGTTGCTTGCAAATCTAGCATTCCAGGTGGGTGCTGGTTTGAGACCCAGATGCTCCATTCCAACCCAGCTTCCTGCTCATGGTCTGGAAAAACAGCAGAAGATGGCTCAAGAACTTGCACCACTTGGGACTCTGAGATGAAGCTCCTGGCTGTTGTAGCCATCTGTGGAGTGACCAGCAGATGGAAGATCTTTCCCATTCCCCCATGTCTCTTCCTCTTTCTTTCTAATTCTGACTTTCAAATAAATCTTTTCTTAAAAAAAAATCAGAGATTCAGCTTAGTAGCTTCTTACAAAGTTTTCTTCGTAGAGAAGAATTTTTTCTCTTGTCAGTGTCTTTTCTTCATTAAGGAGTATCATAAAGGAAGGGGTGAGGGGAAAAACACAGGGAAAAGGAATTAAAGCTAGGTTAAGCCTGTAAATGAGACTAGACTGCTTATTTTTTGTTACAAAAATACTTTAAACGTAGCAGAGAACAGAAGCAGGAATTTGGACTCTTGCTTGAGAGAATATATCTTTCCTAAAACATTGGAGCTGGAATGACATTTTTAAAATTTAGACATTTTCAGAGTAGGGCATGTAACCCATTGTGCCTTGCCATTTGAAAGTCATTTTATTGAGAATATGAGGCCTGCAATGACTATTGCTCGTGAAATTCTATTACCTTTGTATTACAGAGAATACAAGCCAGCATTCTGAAGGCATTTAACAACCCAACTACCAAAACTGCAGATGATGAAACGAGAAAAAAGGTCAAAGGTATGTTAACTGTGGAACTTCAAGCTTTTTACTAGAAGAAAATATTAAGTTCCTTTTCAGGAGGAAAAAAAAAAGAACTGAGCACTATTTGGATAAGTTCTCTGTGGAAATAGCCTTAGGAGTACTTAACTCTCCTGCCTACGAAATACTTTAGTGGACCATAGAAGAAAATGTTAGGAAGTATCTATGTGAGTTTTAAATAATGAATGCAATGCAGAATGACCTTCGTTGTTTCATGTCCTTGTGTGAGATCTTCTAAGCAAGACTTGATAGGTTGTTGAAATTAACATTCTTACATGTATCATTGTGGAGCTAACAGATGTTTGACTGTGAGTTCACAGAAATTATCTAGTTTTAATTAGAAAAAAATTGCGTAATTGGTCCAAATATTCCTTCAAAGAAATTGTTTATTAAGGAGAGTGTAGCTTACTCATATTTTTTGCTGTTCTTCAGTCAGAATATGAGGTCAAAACAATTGGTAATGCTAATCGTTAATATTGATCAGTATTGCTATTTGGTTTCATATCCTCTGGTATTATCAAATTACCTTACCCTAATGTATATATTGATTGGACATATTAACTATTAAAGTCATCATTGTTAGAAGATTTATCATATTTTATCATTTTTCTTTCATCTGTTTTAGTTTTGTGATTGACATAGCATTCATAATTTATAAACAAATATACTTATATTGTTGTACCATCTAAAATTGTATTATATGTAAGGATTTAAGATACAAAAATTGATTAAATATACTCTGCTTTGTGTTGAGATAGCGCCATCTACTGCATGTTGGGACTGAAAGCCCACTTTTTCCCTGTTTTTTTTTCCCCATTTTCTAACCTCTTTTTAATCCCTTGTACAATTGTTCTTAATGTAGAATCCTAATTAGTGTATTTAAATAATTTTAATAATTAATATACCTTAAAACAGATATATGCTAATGTAAGTTTTTTTTGTCATTCAGTGCTTCAAGTGATGTTTAAGCAATTTTAAATATTTATATTAAAGTTAACAATGGAGGCCCTGTAAGGATAGAAAGGAAGTCTAAAAGGGGTGAAATATGTTAGTGTACTTCTCCCCCATGGCTAATTTCAGAATTTTTCAAATTTCTGTTATTAAATGTGGAATAGGATGTCTTCCTTACTTGGATAACTTTCCAGTAAAAATTAGTTTGTTATACTGTTGGATGGATGGTTGGTATTTTATTTGCATTAAAAGTATGATTTTTACAGCGTATGGAAAAGAAGGTGTGAAAATGAACTTCATCGATCGGATCTTTATTGGTGAACTAACTAGCACAGTCATGTGTGAAGAATGTGCGCATGTAGGTACTGGGGGTTCACTTCAACATGGAGTACATTCCTGTCACATCATTTTCTTTCACATGAAATTATTAGAAGTCATTTTAAACATTTACAACAGATAGCTGCATAATAATTCTTGAAAATTAACGCATTGTAGCCTGCATTCCTAGGAAGTGAATATAATTTATTATTGCTACCCAAGCAAATGTATTTGTGTGTGTCATTTTATTTGTCATCTTGACATACCTGTGAGATATTTTATTTTATGATTTTATTTTATATTAGCTTCCTCTTTGAAATGAAGTGGGAGAAAAACTTTTGGGAAGAGAATGACTGTGTTCAGTACACAAGGCCCTAAATGCAGTCCCAATAGAAATAATTTAGGTACTACTGTGCTTGGCGATTCTGTCACATTTGACTTAAATTTATGTAAGTTATTAAAGGTGTGGGAGGGGGCTTTAGTGATTAGTTTCACTTTAACATCTTTAACTTGAAGTGTGTGTAAATTTTCATAGATTCCTTACTTGGTAAGGAATATTTCTGAAAGTGTTTGGTTTAAAGTATCCTAGATTTAAATTTCTTCCAGATTTTCATAATGAAGAAATAAATCTTCATATCTGTTTTTCTGTTTTAGATTAAATAGCCTTTTTCCCCCTCTCTAGTCTTATAAAGCTATAAATATAAATTTTTCCCTTCTGACTTGTCACATTAAGACATAGAATGTCTCAACATGACTACTTAAATTTTCAAGATATTCAACATAGTTCATTTTTTTCTATTGTAAAGTGGGATATGCCATTTAGAATAGAATTATCTATGAAACACAGTATCTCAGATGTATTTCATGGCTTTTTCTTGGCATATAGTTTTTTTAACTTAAAATTTTAAGTTGCTTGGAAAGTTTGCTTCCTTTGGTATTTTATGAAATTATAAATGTGTATTAGAATTCTAACTGAAATTCTCAATCTATTTTTTTAAGATTTCTACCATGAAAGATCCTTTCATTGATATTTCACTTCCTATAATAGAAGAAAGGGTAAGAGAAGAAAACCAAATAGTTAAACCTTTTGTGAAGAGCATTTATTCTTTCATTTATAATATTTAGATATTTTTTGGACTGTTATCAAATATCTGGGTCTGGTTTTTTTGTTGTTGTTGTTTTTACATTGAATTCGGTTCATACAGTATTTGACATTGCAGTTTTTGTATAAGTGCATAACATATGGCATAGTTCTAATTCTCTAGGAATTTAAATCCTTTTGTTTTATGAGGGGGAACTGTGAAAAGGTTCACAAAAGAATTAAATTCAAAGCCGAGCTTATTTTGGGTGTCTTGAGAAGCTGCTGTGTGATGCTCAGGAAGCCTGGATGCCCTGCTGCCCTGCTTCACCACTCCCAGCCTAGCTTGTTAAGGCACAACCGGCTCCCCACATGGGAGAGTTAGACCGAGTTCTAGGCTCCTGGCTCCAGCTTGGCCCAGCCCTGGCTTTTGCAGTCATTTTGGGAATGAGCCAGAGGAGTAAAAATCTCTCCATCCGTTTTTTTTTCTTTCAAATAAAATTAAATTAATTAAAAAAAAATTTTGGAAATCTTGTATGATATCTTTCATAATTCATATGTTGAACTTTTTGAAGATGTTTTACATTATGAGGATTAATACTAACAAAATTATATCTCAAATGTGTTGAAAATTTTGAATGATGATGTCCAGGATTTATTTACTAAATGAATTTTTTGCTGTCTATATGGCATCTACATAGGTTTCAAAACCTGTGCTTGTGGGAAGAATGAGTAGATACAGAAGTTCCCAGGACAGAGATAATGATCGGTGCAGTGACCCGGTTACGTTGGAGAACACTCAGCAATCCAGACCTACCAAGAAGCAATCTGCTTGCAAAGATAAGGTAAAACTCGGAGCATTTGTGAGTAAATATTTTAATGAACATACTTGTACCATTTTTTGCAATGAAATTATCAATTCGTGTTTAATCATGCTGTAGCTATATTTGTCCTATGTTTCTACATTTTTTTCTTCATCCAAGATTACTTTGAAATAGAGTTCAAATATGTACTTTAAGGCACATTTCCGGAAAAAAAAAAAAAAAACAATATAACGATTGTACAATTGGCATATCTAAGAAATGAGTTAAAAAAAAGTGAGTAGTTTCTTAATGTCAACAAGTATCCAACAATTACTTAAATTTTTGCAATTGCCTTTTAAATGCTAATCTCTTTTTTTTTTTTAAACTTAAGATTTATTTCATTTTATTTGAAAGTCAGAGTCGCAGAAAGAGGGAGGTAGAGAGATCTTCCAACAGCTGGTTCACTCCCCAAATGGTCACAGCCACCAAAGCCAGGCCAAGGTGAAGCCAGGAGCCTGGTGCTCCATCCAGGTTGCCCAAGTGCGTGCAGGGACCCACGCACTTGGAAGGTCTTCTCTGCTTTCTCAGGTGTGTTAGCAGGAAGCTGTATTGGTAGTGGAGCAGCAGGAGCTTGAGACATGTGCCCATATGGGATGCTGGCTTTGCAGGAACGGCTTAACTTGCTGTGCCACAATGCTGGCCCCTGTTTTTGGTCTTTAAAATTTGTTTGACTTGAGGATATAGAAAAGTTCTGCTGGCTACCATGGTTCTAAAATCTCTTTTCACTGTACAGATTGCTTCTCCCTCATTTTTTCTCCCTTAATTTATTTTCTGAAGAAATCATTCTTTTCTTTCATGGGCAGAAAAGAGAGGGAGAAAGGCAGAGTGAGGAAGGAACAGAAGGCACCCATGTGCTAGTTTACTACCCCAAATGCTTGCAGTCGCTAGGGCTGGGCCAAGCCAAAGGCAGAAGATGGAGCTGGGTCTCCCACATGGGAGTAGGGTGCAAGCACTTAGCCCATCCTCCTCTGCTTTCCCAAGCCCATTGGTAGGGAATTGGATCAAAAGTGGAACAGCTGAGACTTGAATTGGTGCCATTATGGGACGCTGGGTTGTAAGCGGCACCTTTATGTGCTATGCCACGTTGCCCTCATTAAAATTTTATGAAGCTCAGGCTCAGCGTGGTGGCCCAGCTGCTAAAGTCTTTGCCTTAAACATTGCTGGGATCCCATATGGGCGCCAGTTCTAATCCAGGCAGCTCCACTTCCCATCCAGCTCCCTTTCCCTCAGAAAGCAGTCCAGGATGGCCCAAAGCCTTGGGACCCTGCACCAGCATGGGAGACCTGGAAAAAGTTCCTGGATCCTGGCTTTGGATCGGCACAGCACTGGCCATTGCGGTCACTTGGGGAGTGAATCATCGGATGGAAGATCTTCCTCTTTGTCTCTCCTCCTCTCTGTATATATGACTTTGCAATAAAAATAAATCTTTAAAACAAATATATGAAGCTTATTATGAGCAATAATAAAAAAGCATCAGGTAAAAACAAGAAAACTAAGATAGTAATGTGAATACAAATGGAGAGAACTAGCATTGGTAAAAAAGGCAGACCTGACTTTACTCAGAGCTTTTAAACAGTCAAGAAATTGTGAAAGGAAGCAGTGAGTAGATTTATTTGAAAATTGCAGGAGGAAAAAAAATTACCATAATGTTATAAGAGAAAAAAAGAAAAGGTAGAAATGCAATGTAGCCTCCTGGCTGTTCTCTTGCTCAGCTATTTGCCCACTACCACTTGCTGCTCCATATTACAATCAGCAGTATTTCTGAAACAGAACTTTCCTTCTCAAACGTGTTCTCTGTTTCATGGCTAGACTTCCATACTTCCTGTGCTCTCTCATCTTGCTGTACCTTCTAAGAACAGTCTTCCTTTCTCTGATCCCTTTAGCTCTGGATTAGTTCTCTTGCCCTGGATTTGTATAGTACCATCACCTCAGTTGTCTTAATAACACATGAACCCAAAGCTTGAGTTCTTAACTATGTTATAATCACTGGCTTCAGTTCTTTTCCTCAGTTATGGTGAGTCACGTGATAGATTGAGTAGCCTGACTGGGATCATACAGCTAGCAGAGACTGACATTAACAGGCCAGACAAGGGCCCTGTGCTTCACCGTGTGCCCTGCCTCCCACAGACACTGCCTCCTTCCCATACTTCCTCCTATTGAGTTGGAATGTAAACTCTGAGGACCTGAGCTTGTCCTCCTCACTGCCTGCCTCAGTGCATGCGCCAGGATGATGTTTGCAGGGAGCCTGTGCCATCATTTCCTCAATGGATGTAATTAATAGTAGTGAACACATATACTGCTTATTGTGGACTGGCCAGTGTGCCCTAGGCTTTTGTGTCTGTTATCTGTTCCACCACCAAGACAACACATTATGATTGACACTTCTGTTTGAAGGTGAGAAAACTGTATTGATGAGATGTCCAGTAGTTTTCCCAACATTGTTCAGCTAGTAAGTTGCATAGAGTGAATGCAGGAGTTCTGGTACCAGATTCATGCTTGTTAACCTCTGTCCTGTGTCACCTCTTACAGTAAAGCTTTTCTCTGTAGTTTTTCTCTATAGTTTTTCACTATCCTTTGAAAATAGAGAATAAGTTTTGGTCCTAATTTACACTATAGACTTAAAAAGAATGAGTTTATTGAATTATATTTATGACATGTCCACAAGATAGAAAATATAGTTAGAAGTGAATACTTTTTGTGTTTAAGATTTATTTATTAGAAAAGTGAAGTTAGAGCTGCACTCCCCCAATGGTTGCAAGAGCCAGTGCTGTGCCAGACCGAATCCAAGAGCCAGGAGCTTCATCCATGTCTCCCACGTGGGTGCAGGGGCACAAGTGTGTGGGCCATCAGCTGCTGCTGTCCCTGTTGTATAAGCTGAATTGGAAATGGAGCACGCAGGACTCAACTGAAGCCCATATAGAATGCTAACATTGTAGGTGGCAGCTTAACTTGCTATATCTCAGTACCGGCTCCAGAAGTGGATACTTTCGTATGTCAAAGAGTGGAAGCATGAAGGAGGTACATGGAACATAAACAGCAGCACCTATTTATTCTCAAGTGCTACTTGAGACTTTTTAAGTTAACAATTCTAAATTAATTTCAAATACTTTTTTAAAATTAACAAATCCTCTTAGGTGATTCTGATGCTCACCTGGGTTTAGGAAATATTGGATTGGAAATGATGATGAGTTAGATTAATTAGTTATATGATTTTTGGAAGTTCTTATGGGTCTGTATTTTCCCACTGATCATTAATATTATATATGTAATGGGAAAGATTTTTTAAAGCATAATATATGAGTTCAGCATTGTGCAGCACATTGGATGGTACCATAAAGGGCATTATTTATCATGTGCCTTCCAGTAGGCCAAGGATCTGTGATGGAATAAATATCTGATTTTCACTCACAGAGTTTAGAAATCGTTGGTAAACATAGGGGCTAGTGTGATTTTTTTTCCTTGTTTTGAACTTGGGTTTATCTCTGTAATGTAAAGTTAACACTACTTGTTTTGGTTTAAAAAAAAAAAACACCAAATTGGGCAACCTGAAGACTAGATGCAGGGCCTGGTACAATGGCTAAGTTGATTAATTCTCTTGTAAGCACTGGGATCCCATAGGGCACCAGTTCATATCCCAGCTGCTCCACTTCTGATCTAGCTCCCTGCTTATGGCCTGTGAAAGCAGTAAAGGATGGCCCAAAGCTTTGGAACCCTGTACCCACGTGGGAAACCCAAAAGAGGCTCCTGGCTTCAGCCTGGCCCAACCCTGGCTGATGTGGTCATTTGGGGAGTGAAGTTGTGTTATGGATGGAAGATCTTTTTATGTTTCTCCCTCCACTCCAAAACTCTGCCTTTCAAATAAGTAAATGTTGAAAAAAAAAATCAGCAGGTAGGAAAAATGAGACTTATTGGTATTTATTTTCAATAAGATCATAAGATTCTTTTCTTTGAAAACACTGTCAACTTACAGAATCAACTAATTCATGACAGAAAACATCTAAGACTGTCATCTCAAGAAGAAAAAATGGCTGTCATAAACCAGAAGAACTCAAACTTGAACACCAAGGGGGTGTCTGCAGCGAATAGTGAGTCGACGCTGGCCGAAAGCCCCACCGAGGGCAGTGAAAAAGAGGCCAGCCTTTCCGAGAGCAGTGTGGGGGCCGACAGCGAGGCCTCTGAGTCTGAAAGCGCTTCCAGTCCGGCGCGGCGGTGTGGATCCAGCAGGAGACCCTGTGTGCACCAAGAGGTGCGCTGTCCTGGACCATCAGCAAGCGAACTGCCACCGCCTAAGGAGCTGGACAGTGATGATGAGCGAATTGCCAAGGCTGTTTCTGAACTTCGTCTGAGCAGCCCTGACATTGGAGATGGAGATTTTGACAGAGCAAAGGAGCTGCTTAGTGTGCCACTCAGTGTACCAGATAACTTGGGTTGTCAAGAGGAGAAGCACTTGCGGTCTCACAGCCTCCATGATGCTTTTCAGACCCTTTCTCAGAGCTACGTGACTACTTCTAAAGAGTGTTCAGTGCAGTCCTGTCTCTACCAGTTTACATCCATGGAGTTACTGATGGGAAATAATAAGCTTCTATGTGAGAACTGTACGGAAAGGAAGCAGTTGTACCCAAAGGAAATCAGTTGTGCGGGTAAATACTTAGCTTAATTTTATTTTTCATGTGGATGCAGTGTCTGATATTCAGTAACCCTTCACAGATGCTGGGAAAAATAGCCTGAGAACTCTGTCTCCATGCTCAAACTGCTCAGACACCAGGATTGTCTTCTTTGTATCTTGCACCAGTGCTTTGGACTCTAGGCAGAGTAGATTTTCAGTAGCTTTTTGTTGGAATAAATTCAAGAAAAGGAGGCACATATCTTTTTTATACAGTGATGAGGAGAGACAGAGAGGAAGATCTGTCTGCTGATTCACTCCCCAAGTGGCTGCAACGGCCGGTTTTGAGCCAATCTGAAGCCAGGAGCCAGGAATGTCTTTCCAGGTCTCCCACATGGCTGCAGGGTCCTAAGGCTCTGGGCCATCCTCAACTGCTTTCCCAGGCCACAAGCAGGGAGCTGGATGGGAAACAGGGCTGCCAGGATTAGAACCGGCGACCATATGGGATTCTGGCATGTGCAAGGTAAAGACTTTAACCACTACACTATCGCACCGGGCCCAGGAGGCACACATCTTTTCTTCAAAATTTGCAGTGCTCTTCTTTGAGAAGACCAGCCATTTGAAATGTTAATGAAAAAATTTTTCCTAAAGCTAATTTTTTTCACCAGTAAGGCTAATGATGAGATTAATAAGATTTGCAGAGCTAGTCAAAGTATCATCCACCCAAAATCACACATAGATTTGAAGATTTTACTTAAGAGATTGGCAGTATAATGATTGGTGAGTTGACCAGAGAAAAGAGGAAATTGTTGAGTAAGGAAAGTATCTCTAGCCTTTAATTAAATGGTAAGAATTTCTAATTCTTAGTGACTAGTTGTTTTAAAATGTAGGCTTTATTTTGATTTATATGATGGAAACAGTAGCTCAGGAAGTTATTAGCTTTAGAAATACAGCTTCTTACAATTTCTAGGAAGCAGTGGCACAACGTGGCATCCTGGGGTGGGGAGGAGCATCAGGGTCAAGCAGGAAGTCGGGAGGGAGAGGCCATAAGAGGAAGCGCAGGAGCCTTCAGAGGGAAAGAACAGGCAAGGCAGGCTGAATGGCCTAAGAGGGTCTGGTGTGAAAATTTCTAGTGGTCTCAAGGGAATAGGGACTCTCTCTGGTTAGCTGGTACTTGGCCCTAGCTGGGTAGAGAGCGGTCCACAATGTAAGAGCCCAATAAAGATTATTGGGGTACGGGCTCTGGACTGGTTGATTTGCATGTGATAATTTTAAGTTGTCTGCCTTCTCTAGGAATTAACTATCCCTGAGAGGGGCTGTCCTTCCAGTGTCATTGAGTCCCTTGATATCAAAGCGTCAGCGTAAGGAAATGCTTAATTCAGTAGTAATTTAAGAATTAGCTACCCAGGGAAAGGAAGAAATGCCAACTTCCATTATGTAAGGTTAAATGTTCAATTTGCCACCCAATTCCTGTAAGTCATTTCCAACAAATGCTTATTGAAATTCCCCTTGGTATTCCCTCTTCCCTGCAACAAGTAAAAAATGCAAGTTTTTCAACTACAGATGCTCTTCTGGGGTTGTGTTTGGTTGGAGGATATTGACCTAGGTTACTACTAGTCTGTTTTCCAGCTTCCAAAATTTTGTTACAAATTTCACTTCCCTTATCCTTATTCTTTATCCTTATATACATGTGTCTTAAAAAAAAATTAAAAACTTTTTTTCATTCAAGTAGGGTTTTGGAAAGGAGTAAAGGAAGTAGAGGAGGAGAAAAAGTTTCTTTAACATTAAAAAGAAGTGGTATGCGGCTTTATGTAAATATTTACTATAGTCTATATTAGATGATATGTAAATAAAGTATTGTATTTTTGCAGAACAGAAAACACAAGGGGTTTATACGAATGCCAGGAAGCAACTGCTCATTTCCGCCGTTCCACCTATCCTAATTCTCCATCTGAAAAGATTCTACCAGGTAAAGTTCTTTTAACAGAACTGTAATCAATTTGGCCAGGTGTTTTGCAGAACCCAAAGACTTGCAGAGTGCTTTCCATGTACAGTAAATGACTGAATTTTAAATTTTGTCATGTGGGATTTACTGCTATCCTATGCATAATAGTGTACGAGATTTTTTCCGAAGTTGTTTAATTCATAATGTTTACAGACTTAAGTGGTAGAAACCTAGGCGCTGTCTCTGTATTTCTGTGGATTACTTAGAGAAAACAAGCTTATTAAGAACACTTGGAAGCAGCAAAGTAGTAAAGCACACACAGCTTCCTGAGCTCTCCTGTCCCACTGAAAGGGTGCGGGGACTGCGCAGAGGGCCACGACTAAATCTACCAAGGGCTCCGAGGCAGGCCACAGCCTTGTAGGATTCTACAGTGGAACACTTTAAATGAGAAACTTTTTAAGAATTTATTTTTATTGGAAAGGTAAATTTACAGAGAAGGAAAGAGAGATAAAGATCTTCCGGCCACTGGTTCACTACCTAAATGGCTGCAACAGCCTAAGCTAAGCTGACCCAAAGCCAGGAGAAGCTTCTTCCAAGTCTCCCACACAGGTGCAGGGTCTCAGGGCATTTCAGGTCATTCTCCATTGCTTTCCCGGACCACAAGCAAGGAACTAGATCAAAGATGGAGTAGCCAGGACGTGAACCGTTACCCATATGGGATACTAGTGCTTGTAGTGGGAAGGTTAGCTAGTTGAGCCACATTGGCAGCCCCAATCTAAATGTTTTTAAGGTGTCAGTTTTTTATTCATTTAAAGTTTTAATAAAGGGCATTGTCTCATCAGATTATCTTTGCCCTTTTAAAAAATGACTTTTATATTTGAAAACATGAGTAAGTGAAAATACTAAAATAGTTTTAAAAGTTACTTTTTGATGCATGTTTGAAAATAAAACTACATAATAATTGAAACAATTTAGTTGCAGTTGTCAATAAAACATGGATAAATGTTAAAGCTATTAGGTTAATTTCTTAAGGGCAAAAATACTGATTGGAGAGGCTATATTAACATGAAAAGACCTCAGACATTGCTAGTGTCAGATGCTTAATTTCATCAGGGTCACTTGAGGAGGGGAAAAAAACCAAAGGAATTAAATACAGAATAAATAATTATTCTTGGGCTGTGTTCTTGTAATTGTTTGCCATGGATCATATTTAGCTTTTCAAAGAATCATGTGGGAAAAAATGACTATATTTCTTGCCAGAAAATGAACAAGATTTTTTAACAAGATTTTTTTCTTTTAAGATGACTAGTAAAAAGAAATGCAACTACTTTATAGTAACATTGTGGAGAGTAGTATGCAAATAAAAGTCCAGTTGTTAGACACGTGAAAGTCCTCCAAGAAGTGTTGCATCTACTAGTTTTTGGGTACTCAATTTAGCAAGTCAGATTTAACTCATTCCAACAAAGTTCATTTCTATTTATGGGTTTCCTACCCACTACTTTTCATAGTCTGTCAGCTAGTGTTTCATTGCCATTATGTAATGCACTGCATACATGTCTCAGTGTCTCTTTTGCAAATTAAAAATAGAAAAAGAGAGCTTATTTAAGAATACCTCATTTATGGGAGAGCTTTTAGTTTTCATTTGCATTTACTTTCATTGATACAATGTTTTGAATTTCTAGGGTTTTTTCTTTTTGATGAGTGGATATTATTAAATTTTTGAAATGAAGAGAATCTCATGGATCTGTTACAGTAGCCTAATGCTCAGTAGCTAAATCCTCACCTTGCATGTGCTGGTATCCCATATTGGTCCAGGTTTGTGGCCCAGCTGCTCCACTTCCTATCCAGCTCCCTGCTGGGACCTGAGAAAGCATGGAGCATGGCTCAAAGCCAGGGGACCCTGTACCCACCCATGTGTATGATCTGGAAGAAGTTCCTGGCTCCTGGCTTCTGATTGGCTCTGCTCTGGCCATTGTGGCTAGTTAAGGGAGTAAACCAGCTGGTGGAAGATCTTTCTCTTTGTATCTTCTCTCTAGATCTGCCTTTCCAATAAAATTTTTTAAAAATTAGTAAAAAGAAAGAATCTTTTTCCCCAGGTTCGGGAAGCAAAAAGGAGATTGGAGATAGTCGTCTCATCCACTTTCCCCCATTCCTCAATTCTTCCGGGCCTGATCAAAGGTTCACATGGACATGCATCCTTTTTAACTATGTAAACAGCATCAAAAATAAAATGTATTTATTATTAAATGAAAAAAAAATTGAAACCCATTATACCTTTCTTCTGCCTTGCTTTGATAAAGTTGCCAAGAATTTAGCTAAGGATAACAAGGCATTAAGTTAGGCTGGAACACCAGGCTGTTAACTCCAGATGTATTTTCATAATGGCTTATAGTTCAGATTTTGTCATATTGAATTAATTTTTCTATAAATGTTGAAAAGCTACGATGAAAATAATTATTTCCCTTATTGTTCATCATAAAAAAAAAATCCATGTATATAATCTTTGCAGTAACAGTTTATGAGACCTAATTTACTTTAGTTGTATCGATTTTAAGGTGTTATCATTTTTATATCTGAAAAACTTGCAGAATTTCTGCTCTGGTTTTAATTAATAGATGTGATGCTTTAGATCTGACTTTATAACATTATAAATTTTTTATCTTTTTTTAAGGCTGGCTTGAGTCTTCGCAAAGTTAACAGACACGTGGATTTTCCCCTTGTGCTTGATTTAGCACCATTCTGTTCTGCTACTTGTAAGGTACAGTATATTGATTTTTGATTGCCTTGCAAAGAATACTTAAATGTATCCTATATGCTATTAGCTTTTGTTGCATTAAATAATCTTTTCTTCTGAAAGAAAATTGCAATTGTTTCAGTAGTGAAGTTAAGTCAGTAACGTGGAAGACTTTACATTAAATAGGGTGCTTGCCCTTTGAGGGACCAAATAAGAGAAAATTGAAAAGAGGAGTATGGCACGAAGCATAGCGTTCATAAAGATCAAGAATACTTGTGATTGTTTTTAGAAGCTGGTGGTTGCAGAAAGAAGTGAGCAGAGTTTGTGCCTTTTCTTTCTTTCTTTTTTCTTACTTTCTTCCTTCCTTCTTTTTAAGATTTATTTTCTTTTTATTGGAAAGGCGGATATACAGAGAGGAGAGACAGAGAGGAAGATCTTCTGTCCGATGATTCACTCCCCAAGTGAGCACAACGGCCCATGCTATGCCGATCCGAAGCCAGGAGCCTCTTCAGGGTCTCCCACGCGGGTGCAGGGTCCCAAAGCTTTGGGCCGTCCTTGACTGCTTTCCTGGGCCACAGGCGGGGAGCTGGATGGGAAGCGGGGCTGCCGGGATTAGAACTGGTGCCCATATGGGATCCTGGGTGTACAAGGCGAGGACCTTAACCACTTGCGCCACCGCGCCGGGCCCAGTTTGTGTGTTTTCTTTCTAGTAGGTGATCTATGGAACCATAATGGTCTTAGCATTTGTGGTGTTCTATGTCTTTTATAAATCAATATACTGAAATTTTTTTTTTTACTGAAACATTTTTTCATGCCATTTTGTATTTACTGAGGAGAGTAACTCTTAAAATATAACAAATGTGCTATTTAATAATGCTTTTATATCATTAAGCATTTGTATTTCTAATTATCTCATAAGTGTAAATTTTTAAGATGAATTATTACCCAAATAAAGGCCATGCTATGGCTTGATGATGTCTTTTTAGTCTTTCAATGTATAGTTTTCCTTCTCTTCATCTTCCCCTCTTTTATAGTTTATTTGCTAAAGAAGCTGGGTCATCTTTCTGATAGCTGTTTATAGTTTAGATTTTAACAATATTCTTCTTATATTCTTTTGTACAAATAGGTGGTTGTAGTTTTAGAGTGTGGAACAGAGCAGATATGATACCTCCTGCTCCTCCCCCTTTGTTAATTTCTCTATGGAGTGTTCTGTTAATTTATCAAAAAACACATAGCACCAATTATCTGTTTTTGTGTGCTGTTATTAACCTATAACACTCAATGCTGGATCCATGAGCTCATTAAGAATTACAAAATTATGTGGGCCCGGCACAGTAACCTAGTGGTTAAAGTTCTCGTCTTGCACAAGCCCAGATCCCATATGGAGACCAGTTCATGTTCTGGTGGCCCCACTTTCCATCCAGCTCCCTACTTGTGGTTTGGGAAAGCAGTTGAGGACGGCCCAGAGCCTTGGGACTCTGCACCTTCGTGTGAGACACAGAGGAGGCTCCTGGCTCCTAGTTTCAGATTGGCTTAGCTCCGGTCATTGCAGCCACTTGGGGAGTGAAATCAGCAGATGGAAGATCTTCCTCTCTGTCTCTCCTCCTCTGTATATATCTGACTTTCTAACACAGAATGATGTGAGTATTGTGGCACAGTAGTTAAGATGCCACTTTGGGTATACACATCTCACTTCCCAATGAGAGGCATGTATAACAGCTCAAGTCCTGAGATCCATGCTGCCCAGTGGGAACCTGGATTGATCCCGACTCCTAGTTATGGCCTGGCCTGCCCTGGCTGTTGTTCATACTTTGGGGAGTGAGCAAGTAAATGGGAGATTCTCTCACATTTAATCTTTCTCTTCCTGCTACTCTGCCTTTCAAAAAATAAAAATGAATATTAAAGAATAATTACAAGATGGTGATATTCTATGACATTTCTTCATTGATTAATGAGGATATGTGTTTTAATTCTTTCTTTTTTAAGTACTTACTTAGCTTTTATTGTCTTGAGTTTATCAGTGATGGGGCTGAAGCCAAAATTGAGAGATCTGCATTAGTCATTCAGCCTCCTGACAGTGCCGGCAATCTTGCCTCCTGCAATGTTGCCTTGCAATGTCTGAGCCTTTGGATCACACATCCTCTGAACTAGTGTATTCTGAATCAAGGAATCATACAGGAGATATATACTATTTTAGTTCATTTTTATACATGCTGTAATATACTAGCCTAATAAGTTCATGTTTGGTTTCTGAAAGCCATTTTAATTTGGCTCCTGAATCTTTTTGACATGACACATTGATTCCTCTTTGTATGGTTATACCATCAATTGAATAGATTGTTCATTTGTGTGGTTTATTTTCTTATGGATCACTGTTTTTAAATTTCATTTTAATAATTACATAAAGCATTCAGTTCTAAGGATGAATGATGTATTGACTGTTCTAAACAAGCTAAACTCAAATAAGTATAGCTTTTTAAAATCTTGCATATTTTGTTTGAAACGGAGAGTTACAGAGGGAGGAGGAGAGACAGAATCTTCCATATGCTAGTTCACTGTATTGCAGTGGCCAGGGTAGGCCAGGCTGAAGCCAGGAACCCAGAGCTTCCTCCCATGTGGGCCCAGGGACCAAAGCATTTGAGCAGTGATTTGCTGGTTTCCCAGGCACATTAGCAGGAAACTGCATTGGAAGTGAAACAGCAGGGGTTCAAACTGGCATCATATGGGATGTTGCCACAGGTTGAGGCTTAGCTTTCTGTGCCTCAGCATTAGCTCCAAAGTACAGCTTTTCTTTGTTCTGTTTCCTTGCTTCCATTATAATCACTTAAAATTAGAGCTATTCTTTTGTTTAAAAAGATTAGCAGATAACTATACCTATTTGTATCTCTCTTCTTAAATAATAGTAACTTACACCCTTTTTGCTTCCTTATATGAATATTATATGCTGAAGATAGTAGATATTAGAGATAATTTTTATTCTATTTTGTATTTATCTCATAGTTCATTCAACTTGTTCTCAATTTACAGACATTTGGGATTATTCAGTCTTTTGCTATTACAAATAATCCAGTAGATAATAGGCTGCTCTTCGATTTACATTTTGGTCATGGACATGTGGAATAGAATCCTAGAAATAGAATTCATGAATCTAGAAGTAGTTCAACTAGAGGACACATAACAACCCTGTGTAGAAGTTATACCCTTTGGATTCTCATGTAAAATATGTTTAAATACTCTTATCCACAGACCGGTGAGCCAGGAATCTTGTCAAGATTTTATACTTTTGCCAACATAATAGGTGCAAGAGAGTATTTCAGCATCATTTTAATATGCATTTCTTGGGTAGTTGTTGCCACACAGCAGGTTAAGCTGCCACTTGGGATATCCACGTCCATTTTGGAGTACCTGGTTTGTGTCCCAGCTAGCCGATCTCCAGTCCAGCTTCCTTCTAATGCGTCTTGGGAGGCAGCAATTGAAAGTCGAAATGCTTGGGTCCCTGTCAGGCGTGTAGGGGACTCAGATGGAGTTCCTGGCTCCTGGCATTAGCCTGGCCTAGCCCTGCTGTTAGGGGAATAAATAAAACAATGGATGAACGATGTTAGTGTCTGGCTGCCTGTCTCTCTCTCTGCTTCCAAGTAGATTAAAATTAAGGTTTTCTTGAAAGAGCAAACCTCATAATGTAGTGAGAAGATGAATATTGACAAATATGCATTCTTTTATTTTGAGCAGGATATATTTGCTTACTTTTCCTTACTGCAGTATTTCACTAAATATTATGAACTTCAGTCTTTTTTCTTTGTTTAAAAGAATGTGAATGCAGGTGATAAAGTCCTCTATGGTCTCTATGGGATAGTGGAACACAGTGGCTCCATGAGAGGTGGTCACTACTCGGCTTATGTGAAAGTAAGAACACCTTCCAGGAAGTTATCAGAACACATCACTGGAAAGAAGAGTGTGCCTGGTATGCCAGCCCAAGTTTATTTTATCCTTGAAAGCTCTTTTTCTTGAAGAGCTGTTATTATTTCACTTAATTTATATTAGTGAGAATTACCTCACTTTCACAGAGAAGTACAAACAACCACATACTTCTTTATGTGATTACATATTACATGTTTCTGAAGCTATCTAGCGTTCAGAATAGATTTGGAGTTGAATATTTGTTGGTATGCCTCGTGGATCCTCAGACTAACTTTGTCTCCCTCTTCAGTGAAAATGATATTTTTACTAGGTATTTAAATTGTTACTAACTAGAGATAATTATTAATATTGAGACTCTGAAAGAATTAGTCCCTTTTGGAATATGCTTAATCCGAAAAGAAACTTCTGAAATGACATCTAGCAATTGGTTTGCAATTAATATGTTGCTATTTATAATTTAGAATTAGTATTCAAAGCATACTTACTATAACATTGTATTTTTTGTTTTGATAGATTTGCAAGAATGTGACAGTGAATCAGCAGGACAGTGGATTCATGTTAGTGACATTCATGTGCAAGTGGTTCCAGAATCAAGAGCACTTAATGCACAGGCGTATCTTCTTTTTTATGAAAGAATATTATGATTATTCATTAATTACTAATGGTAATGACATTTAGACCATTTTATTTGAATGCTACGACTATCACCCACATATGTAATGTGCCTTTATCCTTTATAGTTCTCTTTCTTCTGTAGGAATGGCATGTCCTTCAAATATTTCTGAACTTTTTCACCATTTTGGTAAACCCTTTATAAGAAAGTTTAGTCTACTCATTGCTTTCAGGTTTGTATTTTGTTTTATTACGAATATTTGGCTTACGAACTAGAAAACTCAGAATTTATGGAAGAGAAGACTTCTTTATCATGTGGCTTATTATTACAAGCATTCAGAAATGATTCTTGCTAAATCAAATTATCTGAAGACAGTTTTCTCAATGTGATACATCTTCCTGATATCATATGTATATTTTGTGCCATTGTTTACTCATTATTTTTTAAATGCTTTCACCCTACATTTTAGCCTTAGCCTTGTTTTGAGCAATTATATTCTACATTTAATGTTTAATTTCCACAATTAAACATTAAAATATGTAACTATTGTTCATCCAGTTGCCACTCCATTTAAAATCATCTCAGGGCTATCCAGTGGTATGTGTATATATACTCCTGTTAAAGAAACATTTCTGTGACATTATACAAAATAATGACTAATATAGTAGATAGTTATTTTGTCATATTTTGTATGATTCAGCCATATAAAAAGGCATCATTTGTAATTTCATTATAGGGATTTACCAATAACACATTGATTGGATTATTGCTTTGAGAAATAGAAAACTGGTATAGACATTTCATAAACATATTTGTAGTCAACTCATGATGGAGTTAGGAATAATTTAAAAGTGGTTGCCCAGAGTCAAAATATAATTATCGCTAGCTATAGCATGCAGAATTGGTAAATAAAAATTCATAATCCATATGGAATTGTAGGATACTTTGAAATACAAATTAATAAATTATATTTGTGATAGAGAACTATTCTTTGACTTCACAGGGAAAGATAGTATACTTTCTACCTCTATTTCAGTAAATGTTAAAAATTGTTTTGGAATTTTGAGGTAGCATTCTTTGTCTTCAACAAGCATCATTAATAAGTGCAGGTGGATTTAGCTTTTATTTTCATAGGACATAAAGTTAGCCTTTTGGCTTTTCTTTTTAAATAGATAATAATGCTGAAAATATGGGAGTTTTTAATCTTTAGACAACAGATTATTAAGCTATCAAAACTTGGCATGGAAAATGTTATTAAGCCTAAAATTTCACAAACCAAAGGCTCCTTCAGTGTCATATGTTTGAATCAAAGCATTAGCTGTGTGATTTAGTCATTCCAATCATTCTTTTCCAAAGAGTGATGTGACAGTCCAGTCCATTCTCTGGGAAGAAATGATAAGAACAGTGGGTGTACATGTTTGGATATATTTTACCAAAAATGGGCCCTTTTTACAATACAAGTGTATATGACATAATCAGGGTTACCAGTGCTGCCTTTTGATATGTGGATGCATGGAAATGTGATTGAACATGGTGATATTATATGAATCCTATTTTTAAGATAAGATGTTTTATTTTTAAACTGAAGATAATGTAGAAATGTATCTTCAAAGTCAGTTTGTGTCCTGTGTAAATACCTTATACTACTTTCTGTTTAATCATAGCCCGTCAACATTGAAGATCACAGTACAAAACCAGTGAAGTTTTTACAAAGTATTAATAATGTTTCTTCATTTAGTTCAGCTAGTTTGGTAATAGCAATTGCAGTCCTCTCCAAAAAGTATATGTAAGTCACCCCATTTTTCTTCTAGAAGATACTAAAAAGCAATACATTTCATTGGTCATCTGCTTCTTTTCATACCTGCTGTGGGCCAGGCACTGTCTCACTCTTAATAGCCTGTAAAATGGAATGTTCTATATAGATTTGAGACATTATTCCACAAATTATATGCAAGTGAGATACACTTATTTTCATTTCCTTACTATAATACATAGCTGATTTTGAAACTATTTATGACCCATACTTAGAAATTCTTTTCCCCATGTTCTGAAAATGGGTGAAATTTGGTTTTGATGCCTAAGAATTTCTTAAACATGCATTTTGTAATAGAGAAATTATGCTGAATTACACATTGATCTCCATAGTTTTTTTTTTTTAATATTCCCAAAGGGTATTTGCAGGGATATTAAATTCTGAGACTACTATCGTAGCAATAGTTTTCTGGAAACTAATTGTATCATCCCAGGAAACAGTGTGAATGAATGAGAATGTTTATAGGTAATCAACTACCACGATGTTCGAAGGGATTTAAGAAGCATAGCAAAGAAGTTTACTAGCTTTACTTAGAAACTGGTTTACAGGGTATGTCCCCAATTTTTCCATATTTTAAAATGATAAAATTTTGATTATGTGCCAATTATGTGAATGCTTTTGACATTACCAAATGTATGTCTATACCTAGGATTTTTATTTGATACCTTTAGGAATTATGTGAAGACTACCTTTTTAAGTTACCAAGGAAACTGATAGCTGGTATCAATTCAAAGAGTAGTTGATACCTTTTTTATTTTAAATGTCCCATCAGACCTATTTTACTATGTTTAATAGCTGTTGACTTGCATGTATTTTAAATGTGATTTTATACAGTAATTGACTAAAATTTCCCTGAACATTAAGCTGTGAACTATATCAACTCTCATATAATTTTTGTAGAACAAAATAACACCTTAGCTATTTTTCTTAAATTCATATTGGCAATTTATTTTTCAGGACGTTATGTGATCAAGTTAAACCAAAACCAGAAATGTAATGTGCAATAAAGTTGAGTGATAGTATCTAGTACATTACCAGCAGAGCCTATTTCTAGATAATTAAAATGTTTTTGTTCATGTAGAAATTCTTAATTTAAATTTGTTTAAAAGATGACTGTTTTCAATTTTGAGCAATAAATTCATAATGTCATTCCTACTGTTTTATCTTGTTTGCAGTGTTTTTAGAAATTGGCTATGTAACTTATTGAGTATTATTTTGGTGTAACTGTATAAATACATATAATAAATATTCTTATTTATCTGTATTACAAAATTGGTCCTAGAGTTTTTACATTGCACATTATTGACAGCATATTTTTGTTGTCAGTATTGTATATTTCTGAGTCTTCTGGGCTGCCATAACAAAGTTTCAATGAATGATTTATCGATTAAGAGAAACCTGTTTCTCACAGTTCTGGAGTCTGGGAAGGTCCAGGGCTGTGGTTAATCTATTTCCTGGGTGGTAGACTGCGCTTTCTCCCTGTATTCTCAGCTGGGAGAAGGGAGCTGTGTGGGGGCCCTTTTACTAATCCTAGTCACTGGGGTTCCACACTGGGGTCTAATCACCTTCCAAAAGCCCCATCCTCAAACATAGTCACCTTGGTTGTTTCTGAATTGATGGTGGTGTTGGTGGTGATGTGTGTGTCGGGGAGTGGTGTACATAAACAGTCCACATCAACTTGGCTATATACAGAACAACCTATTCCAGAAATTAACTATATCATAACAAAACAACTTATTATGGGTCACTTTCACTGTCTACCAATGGTGAATCTTAATCCCTTGGGACGTTTCTTAAAATATTTGATTCAGAGACAGCATTGTGGAGCAACGGATTAAACTTCCATCTGCCACACCAGCATCTCATGTGAATAACAGTTCAAGTCCTGGCTGCTCTAGTTGCAATCCAACTCTGATATTACATGGGAAAGCTGTAGAAGATGGCCTAAGTGTGTACCTAGGTCCCTGCCTCCTATTCCTGGCTCCTGGCTTCAAACAGGCCCAGCCATAGCTATTGTGGCCATCAGATGAAATATCTGTCTAATTCTGCCTTTTAGATAAATTTTAGCAAAAGAGTGAGTTAGGATAATTCATCAAGAAATCTTTTGTTTACTTGTTTGTATTTGACATTTTGGGATTATGAAGTTATTACATAAATTAGAGTCCAAGTTTCACCTCTTGATTCAGTTAATAAACACTCATTGAATACCTGCTGTATTTTTGTGGTGGTTGCAAGATCTCTTTTCTATTTTTTTTTTTTTTAAAGATTTATTTTTATTATTTTTTCATTGGAAAGGCAGATATACAGAGAGGAGAGACAGAGAGGAAGATCTTCCGTCCGATGATTCACTCCCCAAGTGAGCACAACGGGCCGATACTATGCCATTCCGAAGCCAGGAGCCTCTTCCGGGTCTCCCACGCGGGTGCAGGTTCCCAAAGCTTTGGGCCGTCCTCAACTGCTTTCCCAGGCCACAGGCAGGGAGCTGGAAGGGAAGCGGGGCTGCCGGGATTAGAACCGGCGCCCATATGGGATCCCGGGCGGCAAGGTGAGGACCTTTAACCACTTGCGCCACCGCGCCGGGCCCGGTTGCAAGATCTCAATCGGTAAATACAAAGAGAACACTAAGAGGCAAAGAAACAGACATTCGAGGATACACACAGTAAGAGCAGGTTAAATAGAGTAGTATTGATACAGAGAAAGAAAACTAGCGGTATAGAGTCAGATGAGAATTAATGTCCAAGGAATGAAAGACGCCCTGGAGAGAAAAGGTATAGGTTAGTTTTTGTATTCCCAAAGAGAGCAGTGAGTTTTGGAAGGAGACTTTTTTTTTTTTTTTTTTTTTTTTTTTTAATTATGGGCCTCTAGTCTGGCAATACAAAGCCTGGGAAAGGAAATCTTAAAATTTGTTTTATCCCCAGAAATATATATGTCCTGGGTTTTGTATGTAATTTCAGAGGTTCATGAACTCTTGAAGGCACATGCATACATCTTTAAAATTGTACCCAAACAGAAAAATCTACAGTGTTTTTAAATTTTCATATATGGGACAATTAAATGGGCTACTAGGTAGTTAGAGTCAGGTCTCTATTGGAATGAGAAGAAGGGGAATACTTTTGGAAGCATACAAGATGTTTAGTTCTCCCAGAAGCTGCTTTTAGGAAGACAGAATACCAATCCCACTTTTGAGTTTGGTTTTATCGTTCAGAATAACAAGAAGACAGTAATTCCACCCTTCTGGGTTTTTAGCTTATTGTGAAACTAGAAAAATGTTACCAGTCATTCGCTTCTGATGGGTTTCTGTTTTGAGCAAGTTATACAGTATTAGAATTTTGTTTTGTTCCCACTTTCTAATTGTTAGTTGCTGGTTTCCCCTCCCCCCCCCCAAAATTGTGCTTAAAACACTTTAAGGTAAAAGGCCTTTCATCTCAGATCACCACCACTACCCCTCCCCCCCAACCTGCCTTCTGCTGCAATGGCAGGAGGCTTCTGATTTAAATAGATTTTGCTTTGCTCAATGATTGGTCCACATGGAAATTGTTCTTTAATGTAAGACAAGAATCAAGGTGATCTTCTTTGGCTGAATTTCCCTGTAATACTAGAATAGACAAGGAATACTGCACTTGCAACCCAAAATCACATTGCCTTAACAGAACAGAAGTTATGTTTTACTCACCCAAAGACCACTGTGGCTCTGGATAGTCCACAAAGGCAATTAGTTTCTAGCTGGCAATTTTATATTTCAGGTTGGTTTGTCTTAGGGCTGTGTCATTTTAACACCGTGCCTCTCTGCTGGGGCTGGAGAAAAGATACTGAAAGGCTTTGCATCAGCAAATAAGTTTTTTTTGTCTTGGTTGTGTCACAACCCATTGGCAAGTTGTCACATGATCTTGTCTGACTTCAAGGAAGAGTGGGTAAGAAATTCTCCCATAAGCTGATCAGAAAAGCTGAATGGGATATGTAAGCTTATTAGATATCACACTCCAGCCTTCCGTTCACCACATTCCTCAGCTCACTTTTTTCCAGAAATTTTGTTGTGTCTTGACTATTACTCCCATTAGTCTGAAAACCCAGTCACCCAGAAGGATATGTTGTTTTCCATATATTTGACTTTTGTACATTGATAGTTCCAAAGGAAGTTTACTGTTCTTCTGTTTCTGTAGACCGCTCGGTTCCTGGCTGTTGTTCCGATGACCTTGGATCCTGCAAGGCAGGATTTGGGCTTCTTCTATTCCATATGGGAGATTCAAAGGGGAGTGGGTGACCTCAGAGCTCTCGGCCTCTGAAGGCACTCCAGTTCCCCAGGGTCTCCTTGGCAGTTGGGATATAGTCCTTGGTGCCCATACTGATAATCCTTGGTGAGGATCCGGGAGTCTCCAGGGTTGGGATACAAGCCTCCTTCTGTCCCCCTGCTCCACTCTGGGGTCTCCCCCTGCTCTGTGCATATGGCCTCCTGTTAAGAGGTTGTCAGGATCGCTCTTCATTTCCCCTGTATGTCTTTGTGGTTTTACTATTGTCTAATGCTGATTCAAATCTATTGTCTATAAGTTACCTGTTATGTTCCTGATAAGTTATACGTCACGTCTTCCTCAAACATTCTAAGGAGATGGAAGATTTCTCTGCTCTCCTGCCCCATTTCCGGGTACTGTAGGGTCTTAAAAGTATATTACAATTTTTTGATGTAGATCATAAGCAGTCTGACTCACATTGATTGTTGGTTCATTGGTTATATCACAATATCTTATTGCATGAGATACAGGCTGTTTGGGGCTAAAAAGTTTATAGGTACTGTTTTTTGGATTGACATCATTTCATGTTAAATTAAGGCAACTATGTGTTATCTAACCTTTTGGGATTGGCTCATTTCCCTTAGCATAATGGTTTCCAGTTGGGCCCATTTGGCCACAAAGAGCTGCATTTTGTTTTTTTGTTTTTTAACAGCTGAATAGTAGTCCATGGAGTAAATGAACCATAACATTTCTATCCAGTCTTCTGTAGATGAGCATTTCGGTTACTTCCAAGTTTTTGCAATTATTGATTCTACACATGTCCAACAGTTTCGTTGGGAATCCATCTTTCATCTGGATGCAGGGATGTATGTTCCATTGTACCCACATCTGTATATGATAAACCCTAGTACTCCAGCACTCTACATTACCATAAATGAGAGGCCATGAAATGAGGTCAAGAACCGGTATGAGTTAGGACAGCCACATCAACAACAATAACATCAAAAACAAATTGTAGCACCTTCAAAAAAGATAAGGATTTTAGCCATATTTTCACCTAACTTCAACCACCATCCATATTGGGTGCTGGCACTACAGGCAATGACTTAACTTATGCATCAACTTGTGCTCCCTCCAGAACCTATCTTTATATCTAGTCCAGATTTCATTTAAAAAAAAGATTATTTGAAAGTCACAGTTAAACAGAGATATCATCCATCCAAATCAGTGGATGGGATCCGGGCATCTCAGGTGTGAGCTTTACCCACTATGCATGACAATGCTACCCCTCCACATCTCACTTCACTTTTATCCATTTTAACAACTATTTGTTTCCATAACAATGCATGGCGCTAAACATGTATTCACCCCTAGAATTTTTATTTCAAACACCCTGAAATAGAGGAAGTTAATAAACTAAGTTATAAAACCCTTGTTTAAGGCCTGGTGCTGTGGTCTAGTGGCTAAAGTCCTTGCCTTGAATGCGCTGGGATCTCATATGGGCACTGGTTCTAATCCCAGCAGCTCCACTTCTCATCCAGCTCCCTGCTTGTGGCCTGGGAAAGCAGTTGAGGACAGCCATTGCGGTCACTAGGGAAGTGAATTGTTGGATGGAAGATCTTCTCTGTCTCTCCTCTGTATATTTGACTTTGTAATAAAAATAGATAAATCTAAAAAAAAGAAAACCCTGTTTATTAATCAGGAACATCAGATTACCAGGTAGGGTGGCCAAGTGATGGTGGCTACAGGGCTTGACAGTGTGCAGTTTGTCCAGACCGTAGCAGTACATGCACACAACAGCTGCCCAGACATGTTCACATAAAATCCCATATTCTGAGACATTTGGTGTTGAAATACGTGAAAATACTTGGCCTGCTGTCCACCAGGTCACAATGTTCACATTGAAGTCCTAGAGGAAGAGTGACTGAGGCAAAAGGAAATGTAACTGTGAAACTCATTTTACAGTCCAGTAAACAGTGGTTGTTGACAGTGTCCCATTGAAGTGTTACAGGGAATGCAGTGTGGAATATTAAAGAATCCTTTCTATTTGGCATTTTCAAAATGACTATAATGGACCCGTCATTCAAAATAGTCAAATATTGGTCAGATGAAGGCATTCTCTGTGTTAAGTTTGTGCCAAGTGAGCAATTCCTACCTTTGTTCCTTGAATATAAATAAGGTAATAAAGACATAAATACATCCCATGACTGCTCTATTATAGAACTTTAGAATAACAATGGTCCAGAAGAGCTGAATCCCAAGAATTAACTCTTCAAACTGATTCTAGAATATATGCAATTGGTATTTAAATTTGATTTTCAGAGGCATCAATAACTATTTCTATAGATTAACAGTCACTGGTGAAACATGGAAAGCAATTATAAAAGGTACATGAATTATCACCCGTAACTATAGAGGAGATTCTGGGTAATAAATTACTTATTGCTATAGAACATGTTAACAAATGCAATAGTTTTGTTGCTTCCAAGTGTCCTACAGGACTTGGGGAAAACACGTAATGAGTTCAGAGCTTTAATTCCAAGACTAAATTCTGCATAATAGGACTTAAGATCCTCTGTAGCTGCTTTAAAACATGAAACAAAATGAAATAATTTCTTACGTACTGTGACCACAGATCTGAGATTCTGTAAAAAGCCAATCCAAAGTCTAATCTTGGTGCTGAACTGAATAGTCAAGTATTCATTTACTTGACTATTTACCCAAAAAATGGACCTTTCAGGTAAAGTTAGGGCATTACAGGGCTGTGATTTAGACGTGGCTTACTCATGTCCCCCAGAAGTTTCACACTTAGTTTTTGGTGAGGCAGCGCTAACCCAGTGAAAGCATTAAGAGGTAAGGTAGGTGATTAGGTCACTGAGGTCCTGTTCTCAGGAGTGAATGCTGTTCTTACAGGACTCTGCCTAGTTCCTGGGATAGTAGGCTGACTCCTGACTATCCCCTGCTTGCTGTTTCACCACATCTCTCTCAGACAGAAGCCGATTCTCCATCAGGCTGCCTTCTACCACTGAGCGATAGGGCCAGGAGCTGAGGAGATGCCAGCACCATGCTCTTAGACTGATGCCTAAACAAACCTCTTTTTTTTTTTAGGAAGTACACAGCTTATTGCACTCTGTGGTAGCAACAGGTAATGAACTCATGGAAGAAATGGAATCCTGTTAGGATAGGGTAGTATGGGCTGATTCTAATGGAACTAAAAAACCTTGTACCCCAGATTCCACCAACACTTCTTTGCTCATAGAAACATCTTGATGATTTTCACCTCAAGAGTCTGATCTCCCCAAGCTGTAGAAGTAATAATGACCTTCACTAAGTCAAGCTGTTTTACAAGAGACTGCTAATGTTCCCAGGACACACCACACCTCATCACTTACTTCTTATTTCCAAAGCTGTAACTAGATTCAATTATACATATAGCCCCCTAAGGATAAGATAGAAAATATGATCAATAAGAGTATGCAAGATATGTGAAAATAATTACATAATCTGATAATTTATATTGGCAAAATCCTGAAGATTATATGTGGGCGTTGATCTTAAGGTTTAGGGCATGGGGTTGTGACAGATGGAATACAGAGTTGAATCAGCCTGTACTTAATGATTTTGGATTACTTAAGTATGGATTCCAGGTTCAGTATATTAGGTTGAAGACTTGGGAATGGCTCTAATTGCTTGGTTGACTTTTGTTTGCTGGTTGTCTGAAATACAGTGCAAAAAATGATCCATAATAAATAAAGCTGAAAGTCCAGAACTTTTTGGCACACTGTAAAGCAGTGGAGAGCATAAGCAGCTGCACATAGAGGATATGTCAGTCTAACGGAGCCTGCAGAGGATACCTGGCAGCACAACAGAGGTCAGAACAAATCAACTATCCCAGCCGTATGTTGGCAGTGAAAAACTGAGCAAACTTAGACTTTAAGATGGACTATGTCAATCAGTGGATTCTGCAGCGACCCCATAGTGCTTTTGGAATGGCGAGATTGGCAGCAATTCAATAACTGTAGAACTATCAAAACCACTTGAGCAAGACCCTTGGAGCATGCCCCACATTAGGGACCTGGGATGGGTGGGAGACTGGGTGGGGCTTCTCCCTTTACCTCCCCCTATTCCCGTAGCTCTTGAACCTTTGTGCCACAATTAACTATGTAAAGATTGTCAAAAATAACGAAAAAAAAAAAAAACGCCTTGGAAAGTACAGAAAATCACTTAGCACAAAGATAACTACTTGATGACATGTAATCTATGTTATTCTGGCTTTTTCTTTATAATTCCAAAATCTATAACTGGACTGTTAGAAGCAAGTAGACATTGTGGAGCAAATCAAATAGTTTTTTCTTCTGCTCCAGTGTATCCTCATGAACTCACATCATGGTGTTGAGTGTGAGTAACTTGTTTTCCAAGATGAAATTTTATTTTGAGGAAATCTTGGATTTAGGAACTGCACATCTTTCACTGGGGAAGATTTTGATGATTCAGGAATCTGAATGCTTTATATCGAAAAGCAAGACGGGCATCGTATCTCTTACCTATCCATCTAGCTGTACTCTCACTATTTAGTTTGTACTATTGCTGTTTCTTCTCAACAACTTCCCAGCTATTTGGCTACAGTGCACTCTCCCAAAAGTTATATGTTACTCCGTAGAAAGATACTTTCTAAGATTTAGTCTGTAACGTAGTTCTTAACCTGGAGATCGGTACTTTGATTCATGAACGTTGTTCGTTTAAAAACATTGGAATCAAAGCGTTGTTTTCTAGGAATCGCATTACATTATCTCCCCTTTGGGAGGCCATCTTGTAGTTGGGAAAAAGGAACCGCAGGACGAAAAACAGACCTGTCACTTTTCCTTAAAGATCCCCTGGCGAGACTCAGAGGCCGGTACCAGCTTAGAAAGAGCGGAGCGAGTGTCCCCAGGAGGGGGCGCGATGCTGAGGGGTCGGCGCAGGCCCCGCTCTCGCCGAGCCCAGACCGGCCTGGGACACCTTCCCACAGAGCCCGTTTTCGCGAGGCGGAGCCCTCAGCGGCGCCCAGTGAGACACAAGGCCGGGGAACCGAGGGAAGTTTCGGCGCAGATCCTGGCCTGACTGAAATGCCACGAGGCGCGCCGAGCCAGCAGCCAGCGAGGGTTCGTTTTGACCCTGAGGCCGCTCCGTAGTCTGAAAGTGGCGTGGCCAACTCAGCCCCTTTTCCGAAGCGGAAGGGTTTCTGGCCGAGAAGAGACTTTCCCTTGAAAGAGGAAGAGGCTGCTGAAGTGGAAAACCGGAGGGTTCCTTCCGTGTAGAACTCCTAAGCTGTTAGCTTTTGGCCCAGGGAAAGACGAAAAGGGGCGGGGCACTGCGGCGCCTACGTACTGAAATGTGAAGACAATTGTTTCGGGCACTTAGCTGGCTTTGCCCTCAAGAAAAATGGCGCTGGCACGTTATCAACCCGGTAGTCACGTGCTCACCAACCGGGGTAATAGCGAGTATGGCTTCAAATGACAAGCGGATATTCCCATTCACTTCCGGGTGAGAGTAGCCAGGCGCCATCTTGTCTTGTTCGTGAAGTAGAAGCATCAAAAGGGTTGGAGAGATATTACAGGAACGGTTAGAGAAAGGCGTGTTCCGGCAGCGGAGTGGGTAAGTGATGGTGGGCGATGGTACGTGAGGCTCTGCCAGACTATGACAGTGCTCCGGGTTTCTGTGCTGAGATTACCATAGCTCAGGCTGCGTACGCTGCTCGGCGCGAGCGCCGGAGCTTCATCGGCGTGAAGCGGCGGCGTCTGCTCGACTCGGGGAGTTGGAACGGCGCGCTCGGCGGAAAGGGAGTGCTCCCCGCCGGCGAGTGCTCACGACCCTCCTGAGAGCCTCGCCTCGCAGGGGAAGGGGCTGGTGGTTGGGTTCCCGGCCGGCCGTTGGGCACTGCGCGTGCGCGGCGGGGCCGCGGGCGGCGGGAGCGCGGGCAGCGGGCGGACCGACCACGCATGCGCGCCGCGGACCGCGCGGGTCCCAAAGTTGAGTGTTTTCTTGGTTCTCAGCCGATGATGGACAGTATGTGTGAGGCGTCTGATGGGACAGGCCGGAGCCAGTGGACAAGTTTGAACTGTGGCAAATTGTTAACTGCATGTTATGGTTTAATATGTTAACTTCTCATGGATGTTTGTGCCCCCTCTGCTCCCAAGGAAAGCAAAATAAACTTGGAATTTCTCATTTACCTGCAGCAAGAGAAAAAATAACAGAAAAGCGGCAAAGCACTCAAGGTTTTCCTCATGAAATGGCCGTATCTTAACGTTTTTGAATAGGTCCTGTGTTTTAGAACAATGTTCCAAAAGAATTGAGCAAGTAGTAGTTACCGCTTCCCCAGGCGCGCCCCATAGCACGCAGAAGGAGAGCAGAGAGAGCGGCATCTTCGATCCAGTGGTTCACTCCCTAACTGGCCACAGCAGTCGGCGCTGGGCCAGCCAGGAGCCAGGAACCTGAGGCTTCTCTTGTGAGTGGCAGGGGTTCAGACACTGGGGTCAGCTTTGGCTGCTTTCCCAGTCCATAAGCTGGGGAACTGGATGGGAAGTGCAGTAGTCAGGGCACTAACTGAAGGCCTTATGGGATGCTGGTGTTGCTGGAGTTGGCCTATCCTGCCGTGCTGTGATGTGGGCCCCTGTATTTTCTTTTGTAACACACATTAGTGTGACATTTTTATTACAGTTGGTGGACTGATAACTGGTGAATTGTTGCTAATTAAGGTACATATTCTGCGCTTATTTTCTTAGCTTTTAGCTGTGCTTTACTTTTTCTGTTCCAGGATCACATTTACAATATCACATTATGTTTAGTTGTTCAGTCTCCTTAGGTTTCTCTGGGCTAGGACAGTTTCTTAGGCTTTTCTTGTTTTGTGGTGACTGATTCCCCCCTCCCCACTTTATGTGTAATAGAGAAATACACACTCAGAGACAAATATGGATCGTGCACCTGCTGGTTCACTGCCTAGGTTTCTTTTTTTTTTTTTTTTTAAGACTTATTTTATTTTTATTGGAAAGGCAGATATACAGAGAGGAGAGACAGAGAGGAAGATTTTCCGTCTGATGATTCACTCCCCAGGCAGCCGAAACGGCTGGAGCTGAGCAAATCCGAAGCCAGGAGCCTCTTCCTGGTCTCCCATGCAGGTGCAGGGTCCCAAGCTTTGGGCCGTCCTCCACTGCTTTCCCGGGCCACAGGCAGGGAGCTGGTTGGGAAGCAGGGCTGCTGGGATTAGAACCGGCGCCCATATGGGATCCCGGGCGTGCAAGGCGAGGACCTGAACCACTGCGCCATCACGCCGGGCCCCACTGCCTAGGTTTCTGTAGCAGCCAAAGCTGGACCGTCCTTAGCCAGTAGTAGCCAGGAACTCCATGTTCTCTGTGGTTGCAGGGATCCTTGTACTTGACCTGCCATCATCCCCTGCTGCATCCCGAAGTGTGCATTAACAGGAAGCTGGGCTCAGAAATGGAGCTGTGACTCAAACCTCAACACACTTGTTTGGATTGTGGGTAGCTGGAGCAGTATCTTGAAGACAGTTGCTGCTTTCTTGGTTTTGTTGACTGCTAAAAGCTAAATTGGGTTCTTTCTTTATCCTCCATTTTCATTCATACGACAAAGCCCTAACCTTGATACTTGAATATGTTTTACTGGGAGATGGGGTTCTTTAAGAGAGCAAAATGAGGTCATTAGTGTGTGCTCTAACTCCATATGACTGGTTATGTTAAAAAAGAGGAAAGACTGCTGATGCTTTAATATTGAACATGTAGGCTCCAAAACTATGAAGAAAATTTCTGTTGTTTAGGCCAGTCTGCGGTATTTGTCGTGACAGTCCAGCTGTCATGCTCAACAACTTTGACATTTTTGAGGATTGCTGCTCAGGTGTTTTTCTCGTGATTATAAAAAGTTTGAGGGGATAATTGGAGGGGTAAGGTGTGCTTTTCATCACCTTCTGTCACGGGTGCCTACCAGCCTGACTTAGCAAGTGGATAATGACCCTGATCACCTGCCTGAGGGAACGTTTGTCAGCTTTCTCCACTGTAATATTACTTTTCTCCATTTTTCCAGGAAGTCATTTTGTGTAGGGATTGAGAGTCCTAAGGACTTGAGAATTCTGCTCTTGCAGAGTTTGTTTGAAATTCTTGGCCTTAAGAGATTTGTCCTGTTGGTGTGTATCCATGGATATTTATTCCATAGTTTGTACTAGCCAGTACTGGAGTATTTCTTGCTCCTGTTGTTCCAGTGTGGCTGCTGGCAGCTTTTCCCGCGTGTCTACTTTCCCCCTTTGACCTGTCTCATCAATTTCTTTTTATAGCACTGTCTTCTTGGCACTCAAAGATACTCCAGACTCATTTTTTATATTCTTGTCCTATGCTAAAATCAGTTATTTTTTTAAGTAGCCCTAATTCCTTTTTACTGAAGCATGGTATGAGGACCAGGTTTTAAGTGTGACATCATTTTAGTCCTATTTACTTATAGTTACCACTATTCTGGGGAATCTTTACAAGCAAAATTTCCAAGTCTGTCATGTTTTTTTTTGTCATGTTTTTTAATATAGTATATTTTTTGAGCTACTAGTGCAAAAATGTTTCAATAGTACTAAAATATACGTCACTTCCGGCAGCAGCAGCAGAAGGAAAAAAAGTTACTACAAATAAAATGGTTAGACGATTTAGTCTTTATCAGCGCCATTTCCACTTGACCTGAATTCAATAAGTGAATTATTTTTGCTGTTGACATTAGTCAATGGTGTGTAGGGCTGAAATGCTAGGTGAAGAGTGTTTCTGGCATTTTGTGATGGGAAGAATGTTTCACCATGTGTATGAAAGAACAGTTGTGTTTTTGTATTTTGATTTTGCAGTTGATGCACATTTTGTTATTCATCTTCTTGTCACAGTGTGTGAGTGACTTTTGTAAATCTTAATGATTATCATTTGAACAAGTCATTTTAGCAAATCTCAGAGCTAACCAAGTTGCAATATAATCACTTAAGAAAAAGCTGAGGGCTGGCTCCTGTTATGTTAAGATAAGCCTGGGGCATGAGCACCCTGTATGGGTGTTGGTTGGGGTCCTGGCTGCTCCACTACCTATCCAGCTCCCTGCTCACATCCTGGAAAAGTGGTGAAGGATGGCCCAGTCCTTAGGACCCTGCACCCACGTGGGAGATCCAGAAGAGGTTCCTGGCTTCAGATTGGCTCAGCGCAGCTTCAGCCATTGTGGCCAGTTGGGGACTGAACAGCAGATGGAAGATCCCCCAGTTTCTCCTCTCTTTAAAACTACCTTTCTAATAAATAAATCTTAAAAAAAAAAAAGGCTGAGATAAATGATGGTCATTTCTAGTTGTGTAAGTTTCCTAGAGTATCACAAACTGGGTGACTTAAAATAGCATAAATTCATTTATTTTGAAGGCTAGAAATATAAAATTAAGATTTTTGTGTAACCATGCTCTTAGAGCTTTAGGCTAGGATACTGTTTTCTTTCTAGGTTTCATTGGTTCCTGTCAGTGCTTGGTGTTTTGTGGCTTTTGGATCCATCATTGAAATCTCTGCAATTGTCACGTGGGGTTCTCTCTGTATCCTTGCCTGTTCTTGAAGAAGACACTAGGCATTTACTAGCTACCACTGTAATCAGGTATTACCTTATTTTAATTTGAAAACATCTGCAAAGCCTTGTTTCCATATAAGGAGGCTTTTGGAGGTATGGGTGAGGGTTTAGGACTTCTGACTTCTAGGTCTCTGATGGCTGGGGACATAGTTGGAGCCATGACATTAATAACAGTCACAGGCTTCTTGGGTTCTTTTTTCTCCTGCCATGTGTGATAATTTTCATTACACAGTTCCTCTTGATTATCATTCCATTCTTCTCAGTTCTAGTTTGTTTTCCAAGAAAGTTAACTTTGTCCTAAAGGAAAGTAGTCTCAAAAAGGTCTTGCATTCTGACTCAGTAATCAGATTTCTCAAAATCTGTTTGCCCAAGCATCTTTATAATTGAATCTGAAGAAAGAATGAGTACATTGGAATCAGTTTTTTTATATTGTAAGATCGCAGTAGCAGTGTTAGAATTTTATTACACTGAAACATTTAAGTGAATAGGTAGAATGCTTTAACTGCTCAACATAGGTAAAGAATTATGAAGTTTTGAAATTATTTTAAAATATTTCCCCTGCTGTCAAGATTACTTGAGCCAAGACCGGGAAAAAAAAAAAAAGGAGAGAAAGGAAAGAAAATTCTAAGCAGTTCCTCTGTAAGAATTACTGAGTCATCTTGTCATTTTGGAAATTTTCAAACAGTGTGGAAGTAGAGTGTACCGACAGTTATCAGAATGTTCAAAATTTTTTTTAAATGATTGATTTTATTTTTATTGCAAAGTCAGATAGACAGAGAGGAAGATCTTTCGTCCGATGATTCACTCCCCAAGTGACCACAACAGCCGGTGCTGCACCGATCCAAAGCCAGGAGCCAGGAACTTCTTCCTCAGGGTCTCCCACATGGGTGCAGGATCCCAAGGCTTTGGGCTGTCCTTGACTGTTTTCCCAGGCCACAAGCAGGGAGCTGGATGGGAAGTGGAGCTGCCGGGGTTAAAACCAGCACCCATATGGGATCCTGGTGCGTTCAAAGGCGAGGACTTTAGCCGCTAGGCCACCATGCTGGGCCCCCAAATCATTATTAAACTAGTGTATAAATGTTATTCTTTTAAAAATATCTTCATTTTAAAAAGCAGATTTTCAGAAGGAGAGACAGAGAGGAAAGATCTTCCATTCATTGATTCACTCTCCAAATGGCTGCCATGGCTGGCGCTCAGTGGATACAAATCCAGGAGCCAGGAGCCTCTTTGGAGTCTCCCATGGAGGTCCGAGGTTCCAAGGCTTTCGACTGTTCCTCCACAGCTTTCTCAGGCCACAGACCGGGAGCTGGATGGGAAGTAGAGTACCAGGACATGAAACCGGCACCCGTAAGGGATCCCAGAACTTGCAGGCTGAGGATTAGTCTGTTGAGCTGTGGCTAGGCCCCTGTAAATATTCCTCCCCTTCCCCCCAAAGTATTTATTTTTATTAGAAAGACAGATTTACACAGAAAAGGAGAGATTAGGTATGTGCTGGCTCACTCTTCAGATGTGTACAGTGGCCAGAGCTGAGGCAACCTGAAGCCAGGAGCAAGCAGCTCCCTCAGGGTCTCCCATGCAGGTGCAGGGTCCCGAGGCTTTGGGCTGCCCTCGACAGCTTTCCTAGGCCACAAGCAGGGAGCTGGAAGGGAAGTGGAGTGGCTGGGTTATGAATCAGTGCCCATACAGGATCTCAATGCATGTAAGGCGAGGACGTTAGCATCTAGGCTATTGCACTGGGCCCAAATCAAGTTTCTTAACTTCAGTTTAATAGAGCACTTAAGTAAATGGAGCCTTACTTCTTCCTTGACTTTTCCTATCTTTCTTATGTTTTTACTTTTCTTTTTCTCAGAATTTGACATCTTTTTCTTAGCTTAAGTATTTTCAGTGCTAGAATAGTAGTTTCTGTAAAAAACTTGGCATAGAAAAGTTTTGGACAACAACAGAAATAGAAGTGGTTTAAATAATAGAAGTTTCAATTTATATTGTGTGACATACAGCAGAAAGACCAACTTGGATACAGAATTGTTGCAAAGAAATAATGAGGAGAGAGTCAATCTTTGCTTCTGGGGAAGAAAATGGAGTTGAGAGACTGGTGTTGTGGCACAGTGTGTTAAGCTCCTGCCAGCTAACTTCTGATCCAGCTTCCTGCTAGTGCTTCTGAGAAAGCAGAATAAGATGCTTGATCCAAGTACTTGGGCCCCTAGACCCACTTGGGAGGCTTGAATGGAACTCCTGGCTTTATAATGGTCCAGCTCTGGCTTCTGGGGAGTGAACCAGCAGATGGACAATGTCTCAGGGTGTTTCTCCCCCTGTGTTATTCTCCCTTTCAGCTAAATGTAAGTAAACTTTCAGGAAGAGTTGACCAGGAATAAGTTGTTTTGATGTATATATATTTTAAATCCCGTGCTGTTGATTAAATTTCAGGAGTGCTGCCAGAAATGATGTTGGGAAAACCCTTATAATGATACTAGCCATCACTTCCTATGCTGAGTTTGCCTGTGTTGCTCATTTAATTCTAACAAGCACCCTATGAGGTAGACACTGCTGTGGGTAGGAAAACCAAGGACTGGAGAGTGACTTGTCCGTGCACACACAGCTAGTGCAGGAGTACGTGTTGGCATCTCAGACCAGTGAAATGCCACAAAGTGTAGGTGGCAAATGGTAACCAAACCATTTGAAAGAATTGAAAAAAGTTGTTACTCGTTGACAGTTTATTTAGAGTGACTTGTTTAGTCATGAATTTGTACCATGAAGTTCAGGCCAGAGGCTCTTACCCCTCTTTCCAAGTGTTCTTTTTGTCTTCTGTCTCAGTTGTTTGACATCACTTTGTGTTGTGAATGAATTCAGTTTAGAAAGGAAAAAAAGATGTTAAAAAGTTTTACATCTAATTCTGATCTATCTCTTCTCCTTAACTTCATAATGATGAAATAATTCTGACTGTAAAGTTGATGACAGGAAAAGTTTCAAATGAATTTGGAGATGACCACACTTTCACGTTGCAGGTTTCACATTTATTTTTGCTCTAGTAAATCTTTCTTTCTCTTTTTTTTTTTTTTTTATTGTTGCTTACATTGTATTATGTAGTACAGTTTTATAGGCGCTGGGGATTCCTCCCTCTAGTAAATCTTTCTAATCTGTGAGTAGACAACATTTTTTTTTTCCTTCATAGGATATAAATATTCCTGCTGCTATGCTTCCACGCTGTGATCTGAATCAACCTAAGTTTTAATCAGAAGGTCATCCTCTGAGGTCAGTGAAGTATCAGTGTTCCCTTGCGTTAATTTGTTTATTAATTTTTAATTAAAGTTGTTAGTAAAGCTACTTTTCAAAGGTTCTCATGACACAGTTAACTTTAACAGGCTTGAAAGATGTTATAGGAAATGCGAGGTAAAAGGGAAGTGGGGCAAGGAAAGAAACACTGAAGACAGATTAGAAGAAAAGGAAGTATTCCAGCATTTACTTGATACTCATATCTACTCCAGTTATTGGCCTCAGTTGGGGAGCTTTTTCAGTGCACATATTTATACATTTATTCCGTTAATGCCATTGTGATGACTATATTGGTGTAAACAGAGGATAAGTACATCTGATTCTTAAAAAAAGGTAACAAATGTACCTTTCCTAACTCAGTGTTCTGCAGCTGAGAAATTAGAACCTGCCACTGATGAAACTAGATACTACAAAAACTAGAGTTGGAAGTTCTTAAAAACCGTGCATTTGTCTGGCTTTCCTAGTCTTTGTGTATTAAGACTTCATTGGCTTTGTTTTCAGGATAAGGGAATGGGTAGATTTAGAAGCATTCGTTTAATAACTACTTAGGGATTATCTGCTGTGTGCTAAGTCCTAGAATACAAACAGAAACATACCATTTTCTTGTGTGTGTGTCCGTCCTTGGTTCTTGAATAGGATTATGTATCAGTGTTGAGTCAGATACAAAAATATTAGACTTGTAGGAGTTTTAAACATCCTATAATGAACATTTTTAAACTAGCCTAAACAATAGGCTAGTGTGATGATCCATGCCTCTCCACCTCACCCATCTGGTGACACACACAATACCCGTCACCTAGATCCAACTGTTTTTGACGTGAAGCATCCTCCCTCTTCTTTTCCATACTATATGTGTTAAGAAATAAGTCAATCCCACTTCTCTCTGATAATAGGCAACCTTCTTGCAAAATACAAAGTCAGTAGATACATAGGTAAACATGCATGTACGTGTAATCATCTAGAGGAGCTGCATAATAGAGACTGCTATCCAGATGTGAGGATGCAATGCAGTATGCATCTCTACTTGCAAATCAAAGATGGACTCCCAATGAAACTGTTACATGTATCTTTTTTTATGATTTATTTATTTTTATTACAAAGTCGGATATACAGAGAGGAGGAGAGACAGAGAGCAAGATCTTTCATCCGATGATTCACTCCCCAAGTGACCACAACAGCTGGTGCTGCACCGATCCAAAGCCAGGAGCCAGGAACTTCTTATGGGTCTCCCACACGGGTGCAGGGTCCCAAAGCTTTGGGCCGTCCTCAACTGCTTTCCCAGGCCACAAGCAGGGAGCTGGATGGGAAGTGCAGCTGCCAGGATTAGAACTGGTGCCCATATGGGATCCCAGGCGCATTCAAGGTGAGGCCTTTTAGATATATCTTGACAATAGGATGCTGGACTCTGTCATTCTCCATACCAAGAATGTCAGGATACACTTAAATAGCAGAATGATGGGCTTAAAGACTGTTTTATGAAGGACTATATTATTGTAATAAAATAGGGGAAATCAGTGGAGGGAGTGATGGAGAGGAGAAGTCCTAGAGCCTATGGAATTGTATCACAAAATAAGTTAAGTTTTAAAAATTCAGGTTTTATAAACTGTCTCACTTCTGGCTTTGTTTCTTTGTCTCTTGTAATTTGTTTTTATTAGAAATAAAATCTAAAATCAGTTGGATTCAGTTAATAATAATAATAATTGTCTAGGGGATGGGGAGATAATACTGAATCTTATAGATACCTGTGGTAACCTATGGAGTGATATTAGCTTTTCTAAAGTTTGTAATTATTAGATTTGATCATATTGTAATTTTCTATTTCTAGTCTTCATCTGCCTTTATTTTTTTTATTAAGAATTTATTTATTTACTTATTTTTTAAAAGATTTATTTATTTTTATTGCAAAGTCAGATAGAGAGGAGGAGAGACAGAGAGGAAGCTCTTCTGTCTCATGATTCACTCCCCAAGTGGCCACAATGGCTGAAGCTGAGCTGATCTGAAGCCAGGAGCTTCTTCCAGGTCTCCCACGTGGGTACAGGATCCCAAGGCTTTGGGCCATCCTTGACTGCTTTCCCAGGCCACAGGCAGGAAGCTGGATGGGAAGCAGGGCTGCCAGGATTAGAACCAGTGCCCATATGGGATTCTGGTGCATGCAAGGCTAGGACTTTAGCTGCTAGGCTACTGTGCTGGGCCCATCTGCCTTTATTTTTATGATTATTTAAAAAGGAACAATTTTTTGTCACTTTAGTGCTATCTGTTTACCCTCTTAGAGCAGTTTTGACTAGGAGATTAAATTGCCTTGTTCTTAAAATAATTCATTTTCCAAAGGTTTATATTAGGAACATTAGGTGGTTGTTTTTGTTCATTTTTGCCATTTTTTAAGATAAAATGATTACAGCTGTATACTTCCTGCCAAACTCTGATGCCAACATTAACATAAAGATTTTAAATTTTACTTGCTAACCTAAAAATTTCAGTTGCTTCTCAGAGCCTGTTGAATTGTAGAGCTGTTGTCACGTAAGCACACCATAAAATTTCTAATGTTTATTATTAAAATTAAAGAACTCTCTAATTTAGTTTTTAAACTTTTTATTTTACTGAAGATAGCTGTTGTCACATAAGCATATCATAAAACTTCTGATCTGTGAAGTTTTAAAATTAAGGAACTCTCTAATTTTTAAAACTATTTTTATTTTATTGAAGATAAAGAATCAAGTATATTTTAGGAGAAAAGATGTGGGATCAAGGAGGACAGCCTTGGCAACAGTGGCCCTTGAATCAGCAGCAATGGATGCAGTCATTTCAGCACCAGCAGGATCCAAGTAAGGATAAACATTGAATTTTGCCTGGAGGAGGGTTGTATGTATGGGGATGGGTATGAGATATAAAGTTAAGGGAGATGAGATTAGGATTGGGTCACTTTATGGTCAGAATACAATTTTTTATCATAAATGCTCATATTCAGTTAATCATTTACACCTGAGGCATATGTTTATCCTAGCAGTTTGGAGTAAGTGGATTACAGTCTTGGCACTGCTCCCAACACCTTCCTGCTAAGGCATACTCAGGTAATGACTCAGGCAGTTGAGTCCTTGCTGTGCACCTGGGAGATCTGAATTGAGTTCTTAGCTTCCTGAGTCTGGTTGGACCCAGTTTGGACCCTCTGAGCTTTGGCAGATAAGACAGCAGATCGGAACTCTTTCTTTTTGTTTGTTTCTCTGCTCTTCAAATAAATAAAAGTAAAAAATTAAAATATGTATCCATTATTTTCTTTGTTCTTTTAAAGACTGTTTTTTTTTTTTTTTAACTTGAAATTCAGAGTTAGGGAGAAGGAAAGAGATTTTCCATCTTCTGCATCACTCCCCAGATGGTCACAGTGGCCAGAGTTGGGCCAGTCTGAAGCCAGGAGCTTCTTCTGGATCTGCCTTGTGGCTGTCAGGTCCCAAGGCCAGGAGCAAGCCATCCTCTTCTGCTTTCCCAGGCCATACACAGTGAACTGGGTGGGAAGTGGAGCTGCCAGGACACGAACTGGTGCCTGTGTGGAATGCTGGTACGGAAGGATTAGCTTGCTGCACCACTGTGCCTACTCTAGGATCACTGATTTTCTTAGGAAAAAGCTAGTTGCACATTGGAGAAGTCTTAGATACACATTGCTTAACTTCATAAATTTTATGCCATTCTTACAGTTTTTTTAAAGTACTTGTTTGAGGGAAAAAAATCCAGATAAGCAAAGAACTCCCATCTGTTGCTTTATTTCTCAGAAGTATTTCCCAGTAGTTACTGAAGCAGTGAACTTGAAAGCTGAGGTAATTCAGGTCTCTCTTGTGTGGCAGGAACTCAGTTACCTAAGCCATTGCTGATACCTGCCAGCATCCTGAGTGAGTCAGTAACCAAAGCCAGGTTTCACACACTTAACCCCTGTCCCTGCAGCTGTGTTTTTTGTTCTTGTTGTTGCTTGTTGTTGTTTGTTTGTTTGAAGATTTATTTTGTTGGAAAGTCAAATTTACAGAGAGAAGGATCTTCGATCTACTGGTTCACTCCCCAAGTGACCACCATGGCTGGAGCTGAGCTGATCTGAAGTCAGGAGCCAGGAACTTTTTACAGGTCTCCGACTTGGGTGCAGGGGCCCAAGGCTTTGGGCCGTCCTCAGCTGCTTTCCCAGGCCACAAGTAGAGCACTGGATAGGAAGTGGAGCAGCAGGGGCACAAGCTGGTGTCCGTATGGGATCCTGGCATGTGCACAGCTAGGACATTAGTAACTAGGCTACTGCTCTGGGCCCAGACAGTATATTTTGAATAAAGAATGTCTAGGAGACATAACCAGGCTAGAGATGACAGGGAGTTCAAGTTAGGGCTAGCATGTGGAGGAGCAAGGATAATTAGCTATATTCCTCTAAGGCCTGTAGGCTCAAAATAGACTTAAAATAGATATAAATAGGAAATGCAGATGCTAGAAATGATTGTCTTTTCACAAGATTTATTTTTTTATTTAGAAAGTAAGAGTTACAGAAAGACACCTTTTATTACCTACTTTACTTCCTAGATGACCACAGTGACCAGCTCTAGGTCAGGCAGAAGCCAAGAGCCAGGAGCTCCTTCCTGGTATCCCACATTTGTGGCAGGAGCCAAAACATTTGGGCCATCTTTTGCGAAGCTATTAGCAGAGAGCTGGAATCAAAAGTGGAGTAGCCAGGGCAGAAACTGGAGCCCATATAGGGTGCTAATGTCACAGGCAACGGCTTGACAGCTGCGTCATAATGCTTGGACAGTGGAAGGTGACCCAAGCTCCTTACTGCCAGCTTCAGCCTGGCCCGGCTTTAGCCATTGCAATCTTTTGGGGAGTGAACCAGCGGCTGGAAGATCTATCTTACCTCTCCTACTCCTTCCTCTGATTTTTAAATAAAAAAGTAGATTTTAAAAGAAAGAAATGGGTTAAGAGTGCTTTTATGAGGACCTTGGCTGAAAATCTGAAGTAGTTTATATTCTAGCCTGAATTTGGGTTCTTTTTTAAGATCTTTAAAATTAATTTATTTGAAGGGTAGAGTTACAGAGTGAAGGAAGACAGATGATCAGCTGGTTTAGCAGTTGCAACAGCCAGGGCTGGGCCCAGCTGAAGCCAGGAGTCCATGTGTGTGCAGGGGCCCAAGCACTTGGGCTGTCTTCCTTCCACTGTTTTCCCAGACACATAAGTAGGGAGATGTAAGGGAAGCTGGTTCTCGAACTGGTGTCTCTGTGGGATACTGGCGTCACAGGCAGAGGCTTAACATACTATTCCACAGCAGTGGCTCCTGGGTTATTTTCTAAGCATCCTTTCAGCATTAACATTCTGTAATAGTTAAAATAACTGTAAAAAAAAAAATAGCTTACAAGCTTGTTTTGACTAGAGACATTATTTAGCCCCTACATTTTGAAGCTAAATGTCATGTTGATTTGTGTTAGGTCAGATTGACTGGGCTGCATTGGCTCAAGCTTGGATTGCTCAAAGAGAAGCTTCGGGACAGCAAAGCATGGTAGAGCAACCACCAGGAATGATGCCAAATGGACAAGACATGTCTACAATGGAATCTGGTCCTAACAATCATGGAAATTTTCAAGGGGATTCAAACTTTAACAGGATGTGGCAACCAGGTTTGTTTTTTTGTTTGTTTGTTTGTTTTGTTTTCCAAGTTGAAGGACTGTCTTTAAAATAAAATGAGGATTATTCGAATTATTTGAATTTGGTTAATTTTTATGACTTCTTGAATTTACTGCTCCTTGAAGAATAGGTAGAATTCAATTTGATTTAACCTTAACGTTTTATGGTTAAAATTATTCTGTACTCAGTTGGCTAGCATTGTGGCACTCGGTTTGATTCTTCTCTTGGTTCTTCATTCCTAGGCTGACAGGGGCTGGGAACACTCTGGAAACCACTTGGCATCTAGGGAAGAGAGCATTCTTTGCCTCTCTGTTGCAACCTCTGGCCTTTTCAGAAGCAGCAGTGGCAGAGTAAAAACATGGCTAGTCTCTAATTAAGGAAAATTGTGTCACTATGTGACAAATAAATCTGTCAGATATACTCTGCCCCTATCATCTCCCCACCTTTTTCTTCCCTTTTTTCAGATAGTGAAAATATTTAAGTTTTTGTCTGTTTTGTTTTTCTGTTTGCTTGATTTTTACTTCATAGTATGATTTAGAATCTTTGATGCTAACTTTTCCATGACTTGTGTTGTTAATTTTTAAGTAATCTCAAGTTATTTATAGAGTAAGTTCATTTGGCTGTGTTGATGGTATAGTCATATCTTTTCCCTGTGAATATTACTGGTTTTCATACTATGTAAGAATGAAAAACTAAGCTAATCCCCTAACATCACTTTTGAAAGGATAGCAAATCGTGTGTATTTGATTTTGTGAGGTGATTTATTATTAGCTTTTTTTCAGTGCCGGATTTATTCCTGTTTGAAAATGTTTCGATTCCCCAATTCTAGTGTATAAATGAATCATGCTCTCCCACCTCCACCCAGCCTCCTGTTTTACTATACTGGATTCTTTTGTGACCCTAGCAAATACTTTATTTCTGTGTACTTCTATTTTCCCTCCTGAAATTGGCAACAATAGTGCCTGATTTTTTTTACCCCTACCTCACAGGGATGTTGTGAGGATAAATGTGTTCATAGAAGAGAGAAATTATATAAAATCTCAAGGTATTATTTTTATGGTGTGTTACTGAACAGAAATAGAAAATCTATTGAAACAATTGCTTTTGATTTTGTTAACATTCATTAAAAGTAATTTTGGGCTTTTGGTCTCCATTTGTTTGAGGAATGAATTAGTGCTGATGTAGTGCATTTAAGTTATTTATAAGATGATTTAGTTCATTGCTTAATTTTAAGATATGCAGAAGGAGTTTGACCAAGAAGTCATGTGTTTTCTATATTTGGTTATTTTAAAAAAAATCTAGTTTTCTTGAGATGTTAAAAATTTGTATTGATTTTGTTATAACGCCCTGTTGAATGTTTTTATGCCTAAACCCTAAATAGAATGGGGAATGCACCAGCAGCCCCCACACCCCCCTCCAGATCAGCCATGGATGCCACCAACACCAGGCCCAATGGACATTGTTCCTCCTTCTGAAGACAGCAACAGTCAGGACAGTGGGGAATTTGCCCCTGACAACAGGCATATATTTAACCAGAACAATCACAACTTTGGTGGACCACCCGATAATTTTGCAGTGGGGCCAGTGAACCAGTTTGACTATCAGGTGAAAGATATTTTGTTGTTTTAATATTGTAGATGTGCACGTAACCCATTCTTTGGAAGTGTCTCATCAAGAATTCCTAAGATATGTGTTTCACTTATTAGATTTGTACAGATAAGCACATGCTATGTTTTAGAAATTTCTGAGTATTAGAAATCATTAGATTGCTAAGGGATTATTATTAGATTTTGATTTGCTAAGAGGTCATTAGGGAAAAATTTGGGTAAAATAAAAATGTTTAAGTATAGCATTCACCTATTACAGTTCCTGTGAAATGGGAGCCTCCACAAATTGGTAGTTATTTATTTTAGTGAATTTGTTTTCTAATTTATAATTCCAGAATGGCATATTTAAATGTTAAGTAAAGTTTAGAAAAACAGTAGTTGAATATATTATTTTATCGTTATTAAGCCATGAATAAAACACATGAACATGTATCATCTTACTAGTTACAGTTCCTTCTATGTAGAATTGTGACTAGTTCTCTAGTAGTTTTTGTTTTTGCATTCTGACATGACATGTTAATAGGTTGTACAGAATTTCCTTTGTAGGGTCCAGTTCATTCCTAGGGACATAGAACTCTATGGGAATAGTGGCCTGTGTAACAGGCTTTTTCTTCATTACCAACTTGGCTAGAATCTATAATTAAATTATAGTGAATTATTTAAACATAATCCACAATTGCAACCAGCCTTTTTAAAATAACTGGTTTCAATTGTTACTTTATAAACTGAGTTATCATAATTCAAAACCTTGAAAAAATGCATACTTTTGTAAAAATTCTGGAGTGCATGTTATGTCTTTTGCTAATAAACACACAGTATTCACCTTAAGACAGCATTCCTTTAATTGAAACATAGTCAGATGCTTGTTGTATACTCATATGTGAAATACAAGAGACAGTTTTTCTTTTGTTTTGAAGAAATACAGCATCAGGGAGTTTCTGCTTATCCCACTATCACTGGTGGGTCCCTTTGACACCTTAAAATATTCTGAAAAATATATCAGTATCTTTTGTCTTTGCTTGTAAATAAATTTGTCTTACAAGATTATAGAAACAAGTTCACTAGAAATAAATGAAATTGACAGAAGTTTTCTAATTAGAGAAAATCTGTTACTTATTCGTTGTCTGGATTCAGAATGAAAAGGCTCATATATGTACATAAAACACATGTGTGTGCATATATATAGATCCTTTTCTATACTTCTTGAAAATAGCATATCAACTGGCTTTTTAGAAATCAGAACTCTCTGTGTAGGCTCTTGGGGCTACAGCAGTTATCGGTGGATGCTAGAGCATGGAATGCTTGGATTTGCTGCACACATGGATTTCTACTGTCCCAGTTCATAACACGTGTGTGTCCCAGAGAGTACATTGTATTAATGTGAAGAAAAATAAACTGCAATACTCTTTCAGCATGGGGCTGCTTTTGGTCCACCGCAAGGTGGATTTCATCCTCCTTATTGGCAACCAGGACCTCCAGGACCTCCTGCACCTCCTCAGAATCGAAGAGAAAGGCCATCATCGTTCAGGGATCGGCAGCGTTCGCCTATTACACTCCCTGTGAAACAGGAGCCTCCGCAAATTGGTAGCTATTTACCTTAGTGAATCATATTTGGCTTGCCTTTTTTTTTTTAAAAGCATGTGTTTTCTTAAATTTTTCTCATATGTTAAGATTGATTAAAGAATGCTGTTCTTTTTCAATATTTGTATATTTGAAAAGGCAGAGTGTGAGAGATTGCTTTCATTTGTTAATTTACTCTCCAAATGACTGCAATAGCTAGAGTTGAACCAGGCCGTCACCAGGAGCCAACAACTTCATCCTGGTCTCCCATATAACTGTGTCCCTTTATATTTGGATGGTCCCAGACCATCCCACATTAGTAGACCAGAACATTTAAGTGTTTCCCTTTTTACATTTTCTGGATGTACATTTTCTTTTTTAACTGGTAATACTTGTTCAGCTGAAATGTTAGTTTGAAAATAGCTTATCCTTTAGACTCTGCTCTTATTTTATATTTTAGGAAGAATGCATAAGAAGTTGGTTCTGAGTTAACCTACATCTCTGCAGACTGGCACATGGCTTAATCCGCTAGAGCCTGATTGCTCACCCTCAAATGAAATCTAACGGTGGTGATCTCTTAAGGCTTTTATAAGGATTAAGGAGGGTTTTTGTTTGTTGTTTGTTTGCAAAAAGAGGTGTTTATTTGTTTGGAAGGCAAACTTACACAGAGAAGAGATCTTCCATCTGTTAGTTGTTTGATTTCCTAAATGGTTGTGGCTAAGCAAGGCTAAAGCCAGGAGCCTAAAACTCCATCCAGGTCACCATGTGAATGGATGTGGCCCAACTACTTGGGCCATCTGCTGCTGCTTTCCCAGGCATGATAGCAGAGAGATGGGTCAGAAGTGGAGCAGCCAGGATTTGAACCAGTACTCATATGGATGCCAGAGTCATAAATTGCTGCTTAACCCACTGTATTATATTGCCAGTATCAAGATGATATTTTAATTTAATTCTGCCCTGAAAAAAATCTAAGCATAAGACATGTTTCTTATTACTGTTAAAAAAGGTTTGGTTTTGAAAAAAAGTGTGATATTTGATGCACTTTAGAAATTTACTCATAGCATTTAACTGACTTGGAAATGCTTTTTCAGATGCAGTAAAACGCAGGACTCTTCCAGCTTGGATTCGTGAAGGTCTTGAAAAAATGGAACGTGAAAAGCAGAAGAAGTTAGAAAAAGAAAGAATGGAACAGCAACGTTCACAGTTGTCCAAAAAAGAAAAGAAGACCACAGAAGATGCTGAAGGAGGAGATGGGCCTCGTTTACCGCAGAGAAGTAAATTTGTAAGTATAATCTGCTAACATGAGACTCCGTGTGAGGGTTTTGTCTGTCTAAAGAAATCATTAAAATAAATTTGTAGCCTATAGAAAAGAATTGTTCCTGAGATTACTTTTAGTTACTGTTCCAGGAGGTTTATGGTTTGATGTGTGTGTTTTTATTTGAGAGAAGTTTCATCTGCTGGTTTACTCTCCAAATGCCTCCAGCAGCTGGGAGCTGGATCTCCCATATTGGTGGCGGGAACTCAACAACTTAATCCATTGCTTGCTGCCTCCCTAGGATGTACGTTACCAGCAAGGGCTAATCATATATGGAACTGATATTCAAAGCCAGGTACTCTGCTAATGGATGCAGGAGTCCCAGTGGGTGTGCCCCTAGGGATTATGCTGTAATGTAATTAAACTTAACAGTAATTTTGATGGTTATCTTCCATCTGATGATTCATTCTCAAGATGTTCATGATCTCTGCCTTTGGCCCAGGCTGCAGCCAGAATCGTGGAGCTCAGTGCAGGTCTCCCATTAGGTGGCAGGGACTGTTGAGGTACCTATCACTTGTTATCTTCCAGCATTTACATTAGTAGGAGCTGAAGGCTGAGCTGGGACTTGAACTAGGCATTTTGATACGGAACAAGGCCTAATGACACCATAACTGCTTTGACAGATGCCTGACTTAGTATTCTTTTATTCAGCAGTAATATGATTCTAGCTGATTTGACATTGGAGCTGATCAGTAAGAAACTCAGGAAATCAGTCCTTCTCCCAGGGACGTTTTCTGAGTCAGAAGTAAATTTCAGGGAGAGGAAGCTAGCTACATTTCAGCTAGAACTTAGTTTTAAATTCTGTAATTAGAGTAAATTACTTTTTCTAAACAAGCTATGTCGTAGCTATGCTTTTTTTTTGGATATTACAGAAATAAATGATTGAAAATATTATTTATCAGTTTTGATTTTTTTAAAAAAGATTTACTTAGGAGCCTCTTCTGGGTCTCCCATGCAGTTCAGGGTCCCATGGCTTTGGGTTGTCCGTGACTGCTTTCCCAGGCCACATTCAGGGAGCTGAATGGGAAGAGGGGCCACCGGGATTAGAACCAGTACCCTTATGGGATCTCAATGCGTGCAAGGCTAAGACTTTAGCCGTTAGACTATTGTGCCAGGCCCACCAGTTTTGGTTTTTAAATGTTAAGATTAAATTGTGTATTTTCAGGTTTTATACACTATTTATTACCCCACCACCACTACACAGTCTAAAAACTGTTTGGAGATTGTCCTGAAATTCCTTTGGGTTTCTGTTCTGTCTGCTTGCTCTAGTCCAGGTTGACTTTACAGGGTAGAATTGAAGTGGTCATCTTGTCTTTGACTTAATAGGAACATCCAGAATCACTAGAAGCATCTGACTAAGGAAGGTGCTTAGCGTGTGCTGTGGATACAGAAGCATAAAACTGAAGATTGAGACAAATTGCTGGCATTTACTCAGTCTAAAGTAGAGCAAAACTTTTTTTTATGTAGTTCATTATATGACTAAACAAAAATAAGTTTCACTAAGTTATGTGGTCAGTTGAAATCTTGGAACTCAGTAAAAGTTTCTCAATTTAACTCACAGAATTTTAGGTAATATGTGGCTGCAAAAGGCTGCATAATACATATGCCATTTATCCAAAGTTCCACAAGCCATTTGTTTTAGAACTGTCATTTTCCAATGGGTATTTACTAAATCTATCTCTGGACATACTTTTCTGGTTGTTTTCAAACAAATTAGGGAGAAAGAAAATTTAAGAATTGAAATAATTCTTGGGGGCCTACCTTGTGGTATAATGCGTAAATCTTCTACGTGCAACTGGAGGATCTCATGTGGGCATTAGTTTGTATCCTGACTGCTCCATTTTTGATCCAGCTACTTGCTAATGGCCTGGAGAAAGCAGCAGCAGATGACCCTAGTGCCTGACCTCTGGTGTCAATGAGGAAGACCTTGAAGAAGCTCCTGGCTCCTGTCTCCGGGCTAACCCAGCTTTGGTTGTTTTGGCCATGGAAGATAGATCTCCCTGTTCTCTATCACTTGTCTCTGTCCCTGCCTCTGTCTTTTCCTTTTTCTCTAATTCTGACTTTCAAAAAAAGAATTAAAATAATTGAAATTTTTTTTTATTTTTTACTGATATAAAAGGGGAATATTTAGCAAAAGACACACAGGCTACAGCCCAGGAGGAAAGGCAGGGAGCTTGTGCCAACCTGCTGAGCCTCAGCCCTGGACTGGGCAGGAGAAAAGCTAGGGGAGTGTGAGAATAAAAACTGTGGGCAGGTCACCTAGCAGGGAGCACGGTGATCTCATTGCCCACTCCGGTGCGCAGGGTCTGGCAAGGGCTGCAGGCTGTAACCAGGGCTGTGCCTGGTTTCTGGTCTGGCACAATCCCCCACTCCCTGTGGATGGGAATACAGAGGCGGCAGGTGCTGAAATAATTCTTTCATAAACCTTCTTACATTCCTAAATTTCTTTCTAGGTAATAATGATTTAGGCCACCACACTGTAAATTATAGAGCAACTTTACTCTTATACTTGTGTTTTAATCATTTCTTAACTTGGAGTTTTAATTTTTGATATGTAAGGTAAAGATTTTTGCTTTGTAAGTGTGAATTTGGGCTACCGTACTTTTTTGTTTTCATAGGATAGTGATGATGAAGATGAAGACACTGAAAACCTTGAGGCTGCCAGCAGTGGAAAAGCCACAAGAAGTCCATCTCCAGTCCCTCAGGAAGAGCAAAGTGAGCCAGAGATGACTGAAGAAGAGAAGGAATATCAAATGGTAGAATGTTAAGTTCCTTACTGTATATAAGGGTTTACTTTATTTGTAATTGTGACTGACCTAAACATTTAAGCTGAGAACTAGAATGGTTAGAAAATATTTCTTCATAGATTGTTATATTAGGCAAATAATGTCTACAAAATCCAGATAATACTTAAAATCCAAAATCCCAGGGGGGCCAGTGCTGTGGTTTAGTGGGCTAACCCACTGCCTGCAGCACCACGATCCCATATGAGTTCTGGTCCATGTCTTGGCTCCCTGCTTCTGGTCTGGGAAAGCAGTGCGGGATGACTTAAGTTCTTAATCCCCTGCAATGATGTAGCAGACCTGGAGAAAGTTCCTGGCTCTTGGCTTCATATGGGCTCAGCTCCAGTTGTTGCAGCCACTTGGGGAGTAAACCAGTGGATGGAAGATTCCTATCTCACCCTCTCTCTCTCTGACTCTGACTTTCATGTATAATAAATAAATGAAAAAAAATATATAAAATCACAGCCTAAGAACATCCATCAAGCCTGTTTCCTATTACTAGTGTTGCAATAGAAAGTCTTCTACCATGAGATCAAAGAGAATATTTGTTAAAAACATAATGTTTTCTTAAATAGAAACACTGAGACAAGACTGAAGAGCTCATATAAATTTGTTCAGGAAGCATGGGAATGAGACATACGTTTTATTTCTTCATTGTAAGAATTCTGATTGCCTCTATCTTCTGTAATGTGTATTGTCATTTTGTGAGAGTAGGATTTTTTTTTTTAAGGTGTATTTATTTTTATTAGAAAGTCAGATGTACAGAAAGGAGCAGGGACAGAGAGGAAGATCTTCCGTCTGTTAATTCACTCCCCAAGTGACTGCACCACCCAGAGCTGCATGGATCTGAAGCCAGGAGCCAGGATCTTCTTCTCATTCTCCCATGTGGGTGCAGGATCCCGAGGCTTTGGGCCGTCCTTGATTGCTTTCCCAGGCCACAAGCAGGGAGCTGGATGGGAAGTGTGGCCACAAGGATATGAATCGGTGCCCACGTGCGATCCTGGCACTTGCAGGGCTCGGACTTTAGCCGCTAGGGTACCACGCTGGGCCCAAGATTAGGATTCTTAATGTGCTGTGTTTCTTATGTGAAAGACCTATGGTTTTTGGAGTATATTTGGAAAATACCGAGTCACTTTACTCTTTATTGCTTGCTTTTTAAGCAACTTATTGATTTGAATGGCATAGTTAGAAGGACAGACAGAAGGAGCAATCTTCCATCTGTGGTTCACTTCTCAAATGGTTGCACTGGCTGGGGCTGTGCCAGGCTGAAGCCAAGAACCCAGAGCTGCTTCTGAGTCTGGTACATGGTCACAGGGGGCCAGTTGCTTGGGCGTGTCCTGCTGCTTTTCCAGCTGCTGGCAGGCAGCTGGATTGGAAGTAGAGTGGCTGTCCTTGGATTTGAACCTGAGATCATTTGGGTTGCAGGCATCACTGGTGGAGGCTTAACCAGTTATGCTATAGCACCAGCTCCAAGTCATTTTATTTTTATTTTAATAGATGAACAATGTGGAGCGCAGAGTTTCAGAGACTAACAAAGAACAATCTACATTTCAGGAAATTGTTGGTAGCCCAGCCAGAACTAGAATCCAGCACTTGCTTTAGCTCTGTTGAACTTGCCAGTTCATGTTGTTGACTCTTGAATCAGTTCTGTTATAGTTTATTTGCATATTGCAGTACTCAAGAATAAAAGAATTTCATTTGGTAGAATAACATCTTTATGTAACTTATTTTTCACCAGAGATTTCTCAACCTAATCTTGAAAAATTGGCTTAGGAAGCTAGTATTATACTGTTTACCAGTATTATTTAGTGAACGGATAGATACTCCTTATGAGGTCTTTTTTTTGCCTTAGTAAGAATTCATTGTCTTTATAGATGAATTTATAACACAGGCTTTCTTTGATCTATATGATCCTGGAATTTTCTCAAACTTTTAATATTTTGGAACAGTTTTCAAAATATTTCAGTGGCTGATCTGATTCAAAATTGTTATAAAATGGATTTACATTTAGGTTTTCTGAGAAACTATATAAAATATTCTTCCTTAGATGTTGTTGACAAAAATGCTATTGACTGAAATTCTATTGGATGTCACAGATGAAGAAATTTATTACATAGCCAAAGATGCACACCGAAAAGCAACGAAAGGTATATTGTGGATGTTCTTGGTTTTATTTTCTGGGGTTTTAATTTTGGTGACTATTTCGGACTCCTTTTGTGGTCCTTGTTGGATTATTATCAGAGATTTGAATATTCTCCTCTTGCATGTTCTAACTCTGGGAAAGGTTAGATTTGTAGATAGCATATTAAAATTATACGAATGCTTTTGATTTGTCTGACCCACCTCAACACAAATTAGCTACATGCTGTTGTTTATAAAATGTATTGTGAAAAATTCCTAATGTTTTTTTTTCACTTTTTTTTTTATAGATACCATGGTATTGGTGTATGACTTCTGATATAACTTTTTCTGACTAGTGAATTTTGAATTACAAACCTTCAGAATTTTCAGTGTATCAGTTATAATTCTTTCACAAACAAGTGATTGTTTTCTCCCCCATATTTTTAGTAACACTTTAAAAATATATGGAAAACAAAAATTACATGCCGTATTTCAGAAACATGAATACAGATATAGTGGTCAACATTTTTTATCGTTTTAAACCATTTTCAAGTCACATCAGAATTAGATTTCAAAGCCAGACGTGCTACTGGTTTGAAGTGAATGCTATGCTTTTAATGTTTCTTTTCTCCCCAAAAAGCAGCACTAGTAGTAGATTTAACAATACCATAGACTCAGGACTATGAAATCGTGGCTATTTGTGTTAACATGTTGTTCCTGTTGTTGATGTGATACAAAGCTCCTGCAAAACAGCTGGCACAGTCCAGTGCACTGGCTTCCCTCACTGGACTCGGTAAGTGTTCTCATTATTTATGAGAGGGCCTAAAGGGAAAGTCACACTTACATTGTCTCTCTCCATGTTGTGTTTTAAAACTGTACTATTTTTACTCAGTTTATAAATCTAGGTCTCAGGGTTATAACAGCAGTCTATTAAAAAAATTTTTTTTTTTTTAACTAAGACATTCACCATTGGGAATATTTAAATGTGATAGCTAATTCATAGTTATTGGGGCAAATTGTAATGTGGATTTCCTCATCAGTTGCTCCAATGCATGCATTTTGTAGATATTAAATTATATGTTATATATATATATATCTATCTATAGATATATGCCATATCTATATATAGATGTGTGTATATATATGTATATATGATATGTGCCTTAATAGCTCAGATTTAGCCCAGATAATATCTAAATTCACTTTCAGAATTGATGCGTACATGCCTTAGGGAAAAATCTGTTCATTAATGCTTTGAACAGCTGTTACGGAGATTGTGTTGCAGCAAGTCAGGTTTTAACAGTAGAGATATATTCGTAATTTGCTACTTGCATGTATATTACCAAGGCTCTAAAAGTTTAAATTTGCCTTTTCCACATCTCCCCTTCAACTTAGTTTAGTGAGGATTAAGAAGATGGGTTGAATCACTTGCCCATGCAGTTTTGTTATGGTTGCTATTTAGATTGCTTCAGGGTGGGGAGTAGTTTGAATACCATTTCTGGTAGGAAGGGTTACAGTATTATGATTTTCTTGTTTTAAAGAGAAAAAATAGTGTACTACCTGGGGTTCTTACACTTTGAACAATGAGAGAGAAGTTCAGAAATATTTTCAAGAGTCATCATCATAAATTTTGTAAATGTGGTTGAATTAAACTTTAGTGAGGCATTGTTACTGCCTTGTTAAATAAATGGTTTTGTTCTTAGCATGGATGGCAAAGCAGAGTCATTATCATGATTCATTTATGATGAGCAATGTATAAAATATTCCAGAAAGATCAAAATGCAGAGTAGCCACTGCCTGAGGCTTCAGTGACCTCCTTGATTTTTAAAATTTATACTTCTCCCCACCCCGAATAAGCAAAACTTCTTCCAGGAAAAGGCAATGGAAAAAGAAATGAATTTTTTCTTCTCGGGCCTTAAAATTTTTTGAATGGAGATTATAATTTTTTCATATGATAGACTGAGCTTTATGCACACAGGTGGACTGGGTGGCTATGGATCAGGAGACAGTGAAGAGGAGAGGAGTGACAGAGGCTCTGAGTCATCTGATACTGACGACGAGGAGTTACGGCACCGAATCCGGCAAAAACAGGAAGCTTTTTGGAGAAAAGAAAAAGAACAACAGCTATTACATGACAAACAAATGGAAGGTATATATTGAAGCTTGTTTTTGTCATGTTTCATATGTTAAAAAAAGTGTTTCTTTGTGTGTTTGTAAGGATTTATTTAGATACTCGAAATGCAAAGCTACAGAGGACAGACAAGCAGATCTCCTTGGGTTCGTTCTTCAGTGGGCCACAAGAACTGAGATTGGGCCAGGCTGAAGTCAGGGGCCAAGAGCCTTATCTAGACCTCCCACGTTGTGGCCAGGGCCCATTTGGCCCGTCTCCTGTTGCTTTCCTAGCTAAAACTATTGTTACAATTTTTGGCTTATTTTAGGAGTTGTTTATTACAGTAGTGATAAGCCAACTATTTGGAGTATTATTATGTCTTTCTAAATTTATTTCTTTTTAAAAAGATTTATTTATTTGAAAGGTGAGATAGAGGAGCGAAAAGAGAGTGAGTGAGTGAGAGGTATCTACCTTCCATCCACTGGTTCATTCCCAAAATGCCCTCAGCAGCTGGGGTTGAAGCAGGCAAGGTCAGGAGCCTAGAACGGCATCAGGGTCTCTCACATGGGGCCCAAGCACTTCGGCCATCTTCTGTTGCTTTCTAAGATGCTTTTGCAAAGAACTGGATTAAAAGTGGAGCAAATAGGACTTGAACTGGTAACCATATGGGATCCTGACACTATGGGATGTGTTTTAACTTGCCATGCCACACCATTGCCCTGGTCCTAGTGTAAAATTCTTCTTCATTTTTTTAAATTGGAAACTCAGATATACATAGGAGGAAAGACAGAGAGGAAGGTGTTGCATCTGGTGATTTTCTCCCAGTGTGGTCGCAATGGCCTGAGCTGCACCAATCCAAAGCCAGGAATCTCTTCCTGGTCTCTCAGGTGTGTGCAGGGTCCTTAAGGCTTAGGGTCATCCTCAACTGCTTTCCGAGGCCACAAGCAGGAAGTTGGATGGGAAGCGGGGCAGCTGGGATTGGAACCAGCACCTGTTATGGGATCATGGCACTTGCAAGGTAAGGACTTTAGCTGCTAGACTACCGAGCTGGGCCCTATTAAAAATCTTAAAATGAAAATTATGGCTTTGAAGATATAAGAAATGTATTTGTAAAACTAATTAGGGGGCCCAGTGCTGTAGCCTAATGGCTCAAGTCCTTGCCTTGCATACATTTTGATCCCATATGGGTGCTGGCTTGTGTCCCGGCAGCTCTACTTCCCATCTAGCTCCCTGCTTGTGGCCTGGGAAAGAGGTGGAGGATGGTCCAAAGCCCTGGGCCCCTGCACCCACATGGGAGATTTGAAAGAGGTTCCTGGCTGCTGGCTTCGGATCAGCTCAGCTCTGGCCATTGCGGCCACTTGGGGAGTGAATCAGCAGATGGAGGAGCCTTCTGTCTTTCCTCTGTGGATCTGACTTTCCAATAAAAATAAATCTTAAAAAAAAAAACCCTAGCCACAATATTTTAGTTTGTAAGACCATTGAAATTTGTAGTGAGGCTATGTATGGATATTAGATAGAACCAGAAAGATGTTTAACTGTCTAGTTAATTGATAGAGGGAAGTGCTCCTACCTGCTGGTTCATTGTCCAGATGTCCATGATAGCCAGTACTGACCAGGCTGAGGCTGGGGTCTTTGTATCCAGTCCAGATGGGTGGCAGAGCCCAATTACCGGAAGCCATCACCACTGCCTCCTGAGGTTTGCAGCCCAGAGGTAGAGCCAGACATTCCAAGTATGATGACTAGGCTCAACACCTGCCTGAATATAATTGTTAGGTCTTTATAGAATAGTACTAGGTGTAACGAAAGAGAATATTTAGAATTGCATTTTTGGAACAATCTTATTTTGGTAATTTAAAAAACAGCTCAGGAGGAGCTAAAATTCTCTTATAAGTCATTTGTTTTTAAGTTGCTTTAATTGAACAAAAGGGAAATCTTTCTAACTTGCATTGTTTTCCCCTCTACATTTTGCTGTTCATTGCTACACCAAGAAGGGTAGCTCACTTGCTACAGATATTAAACCCTTCAAACCCTTCAAATATGAATGACCTAATATGTAATAACCACTAGATTTAAGAAAATATTGTCATGCAAAAAGTTAGAATATTTCTGGATTCTTTAAAAATTGATAATGTGTTAAATGCTAATTTTTTTGATATTAAAAAGATTAAAATTAATTTTACCTCTTTCTGCTTACTTTTCTGATATAGTTTCTGGAAAAGTTTGAATTATGTGGTTTTTACTCTAATTCTTTTCAAGTCTAGTATCTTAAAATTTCAGGGTTGTTTAATTTTTCATTTTATATTAGACTTTTCTTACATTTTTGTCTTTTTTTTTTTTTCAGAAGAAAAACAACAAACAGAAAGGGTTACAAAAGAGATGAATGAATTTATCCATAAAGAGCAAAATAGTTTATCACTGCTAGAAGGAAGAGAAGCAGATGGTGATGTGGTTAATGAAAAGAAAAGAACTGCAAATGAGACATCACTTTTAGAACCAAAAAAAGAGCATAAAGAAAAAGAAAAGCAGGGAAGAAGTGGGTCAGGAAGTTCTAGCAGTGGTAGTTCAAGCAGCAATAGCAGGACTAGTAGTACAAGTAGCAGTGTGTCTAGCTCTTCGTATAGTTCTAGCTCAGGTAGTAGTCGTACTTCTTCTAGGTCTTCTTCTCCTAAGAGGAAGAAGAGACATAGTAGGAGTAGATCTCCAACAGTTAAAGCTAGACGTAGCCGAAGTAGAAGCTATTCTCACAGAATTAAAATAGAGAGCAATAGGGCTAGGGTAAAGATTAGAGATAGGAGGAGATCTAATAGAAATAGCATGGAAAGAGAAAGACGGCGAAATCGGAGCCCTTCCCGAGAGAGACGTAGAAGTAGAAGCCGTTCCAGGGATAGGCGAACCAATCGTTCCAGTCGCAGTAGGAGTCGAGATAGGCGTAAAATTGATGACCATCGTGGAAATCTTAGTGGAAGCAGTCATAAGCATAAAGGTGAGGTTAAAGAACAGGAGAGGAAAAAAGAGAGGAGTCGAAGTATAGATAAAGATAGAAAAAAGAAAGACAAAGAAAGGGAGCGTGAGCAGGATAAAAGAAAAGAGAAACAAAAAAGGGAGGAAAAAGATTTTAAGTTTAGTAGTCAGGATGATAGGTTAAAAAGGAAACGAGAAAGTGAAAGAACATTCTCCAGAAGTGGCTCCATATCTGTTAAAATCATAAGACATGATTCTAGACAGGACAGTAAGAAAAGTAATACCAAAGATCGTAAGAAACACTCAGGCTCTGACTCTAGTGGAAGGAGCAGTTCTGAATCTCCAGGAAGTAGCAAAGAAAAGAAGGCGAAGAAGCCTAAGCATAGTCGCTCGCGATCCATGGAGAAATCTCAAAGGTCTGGTAAGAAGGCAAGCCGCAAACACAAGTCTAAGTCCCGATCAAGGTAGTATACTTTTTAAAGTATTTTGTCTGATTAAAAAAAATTTTTTTTGACAATTTATTCAAAGTTGAAAGTGTCCTTTCTCTCTCTCTCTTTAATAACTCAGTTTGGTACTTGATAAATGATCATAGTCTTAAATATTAGAAATCCTATATGATATTATGTATTAAAAGTTACAGTTTTTTAGTTTAAAATACATTTTTATTTTTAAATCTGTTTTTTCCCTATTCTTTTTCAGATCAACCACGCCTCCCCGCCGTAACCGCTGAGGAATGATGTGGCAAGATTGCCATGATGTTGTTTTAAAAATTCCATGAGTTTTAAGGGCTTGTCTCATTATAGAGGCACATTGTGGCTGTGTAGGTGAAACCAGAATTTTTTTTTTTAATCTGTAAATAGGTGTACTTTTTTCAAATGCTGCTCCAAGTTACGTAATAGTATTTCTTTGTATTTTTTTTTCAAAAATAGTACATAATAAGACTATAAATATGCCATTCTCTTTCAGCTGTAATGTTCTTAAAATTATTCTTGAATGTACTGTGATGTCAATAAAGCTCTTTAGTTCATTTTTGTTAAACTCTTGTACCTTAATTTTATGACTTTATAAAGAATGTACTTTTCTAAGAAAGGCAGCTGGAATTTTTGTATAACAGGTTTTAAAGGAACCTCCTTCCATATCCCCATGGCCCCAAAATGGTTTTAATTCAATAGTCTGTCAGTTTGTAAATTGTACCCATGGCTTTTTGTCAAATTCCAACTTTAAAAGTGTGGAGGGAGAAAGCCAGATATAGACCTTTACTTTTCATCTGGAAGCATTTGACAGCTTTCTAAAGTTACTATTTGGGGGATTTTTCAAATAATATATATATATATATGTATGTATAAAAAATACGGCTCACTCTTGTAAAATGAAATTGCTGGAATCAGTCAAACCAGTGCACCAAATAATTATTTTTGACAAATAATTGTGTTGGACACTAATAGTCAAGTTTGGAACTATATTCTACAGTCAATCACTTCTGTTTTAGAAGCCTATTTAAATACGTGGGTATTACAGAAGTAGGACTCATTAAATATATTTATATTTTTTTAATTGTAATATGACCTCAGTAGAAGAAGGTGGTATTATACAGGATCATGTCAATTTCACAACATTAAAGCGATCTAATATTGTCAGTTTCTTAAAATTATGATTAGTCATGAGTCTAATGGTTTATCACAGTCGTAGCTCACATGAAGAATGGGGTTCTCGAGGTATTTTAAATGCACAACTGTTTACAGCTTCCATTTTTCCAAGATTATGCACTTACAAAGTGACTGAATCTCTTCAAATGCTCTCAAATTTAATCTAAAATAAGAGTTTGTGCAGGGCACAGAGGAAGTTTTAAGTATGCCTTTTTATCAGCCATAGTTCATTTAAAAAATAATGTCTGAGTTCTGCCAACATCAGTGTTATCTTAAATGAAGATAGGGACGAATTTGTATAGTGTGCTGTTGTGCCTCCATATAGGTTCTTAAATAATTTTAAGCACTTACGCATTTATCTAAAGGAAATAAATCGACGTAGTAAATGCATGTTTATGAAAATGACTCTTTACAGTGCATTTAGTTCCGGTAGTTATAAAAATGACATTTTACAGAGTAATTTTAAAATACTTTTGAAATTAAATATAATTTAGACATCAATGATATCTGAAGACCAAGGAAAGTGTAAATATTTTTTAAGAAGGTGAGCTAGTACGTTTAAGTTAATTGCAGAACGAACTGATAAATCTGTAATACATAAATTATATAATGTTTTCGTATCTTTAAATGGTTTTTAGGTTCATCTTCAAGTGAAACACTATTTTTAAAATAAAACCCAGCAAAATTCTGCTGGGTGGATATGCACATTTTGGGGCAAAATATGAACTAGAGCCAGAAGCAGTGGTTGATAGTTTGAAATGCTCTGCTATGATTTTCAAGCTTTTTGTCAGTTGAATCTGTTGGTTAAAAAAAAAAAAAAGAAAAAAACTTGATTTTTGTGATTAGTAGTGTTATAATTAGATATTTGGATTTTTCAGGTTTTTATAGAAACTGTAGATTTCATTATTTCTTTGAAATGTAACTGGTTACCCTGAGTGTTAAGACCTTATAAAAAACATCCAGTAACTTGGGATGTGAATTCTAAACCATACACATAGGTTAATCATATGTGTAGTTTGGTATGAAATTTTTTTGAAGATGACATCAGAAAATTAATAGATTCCATTTTTTGAGACAATCGGTATGGATTGGTTATTGAAAATTGTCTTTTCAAACAGATTACCTTTTGAAGTATTTTTAGTGTATTAATGATACTTGGTTTGTTGGGGGGAGGGTAAACCACACCATTAAGATAATAAATGTGATTTGGAAGAGGTTATTATCTGTTTCAGGCCCCAAAGTATAAATAAAAATTGGTGTGGAGTATCATTAGTGTATATGTTTTCTACCATTGCAAAATGTCTTTTTAGCATCTGTTTCTATGGTTGTAATACAACAGAGGTAAACTTCCCAAACAGAATTTATTTTTGTGCCATTTTGTTTTTTCAAAGGAATACATGGAATGTAATGCTAGATGAGATTTTTTTTAACTTTTTTTTTTTTAAGATGCATTTTATTTTTATTGGAAAGGCAGATTTACAGAGAAGGGAAGAAGGAGGGAAAGATTTTACATCCACTGGTTCACTCCTCAAGTGGTTCCAACAGGCAGAGCCGAGCCAATCTGAAGCCAGGAGCTTCTTCGAGGTCTTCTATGTGGGTGTAGGTTCCTAAGGCTTTGGGCTGGCCTGGACTGCTTTCCCAGGCCACAAGCAGGGAGCCTAGATGGGAAATGGAGCAGCTGGGACATGAATAGGTGCTGCGTGGTATCCTGGCACATGCAAGGCAAGGATTTAGCTACTGAGCCCTTACATTAACCCTGAGATGTTATTTTTTTTTTTTTTACATAGGAGTTCTAATAGATCCAAAGTTCCTATAATACTGGCTTCTGGTAGGCTGCTATATTTAAATTGAATTTTTCTTCTCGTACATAACAATATAAATGAAAAGACACTTTCGTTTATTGAAGTTTGTAAAATGTACTACAGTTTAATTGAAATATTAGAGACTTTGGATTGACCTAATTCTGCTGCTCCTTAGTCAAATTGCTAAATCACTATGGACTTTATTTTCTTCAACTGTGTGAAACAGTTACAGATCATTTGTTAGATATTGGGTACTCCCAGCCCTTAAGCGGTTCAGTTTCAAGTAGAATTTGGTTGTAATGTCCATAGTTTAAGGAAGAAAATAATTTTTATTAGTCACATACAAATTATACATATGCATGGATTTCATTTTTTATAACAAAATAAACTTGTGAAATTCCATTTCCTGTGAACTTTCTCAAGTACCCTAAATGTTATCAGATATCACCCATAAAATTTTCATGTAAACACAAAAAATTAGCTATATCTGTCACATTATATAAATGTTGGTTGATAGGATTATTTTATTTTTTATTGGAAAGTCAGATATACAGAGAGGAGGAGAGACAGGAAGATCTGTCTGTTGATTCACTGCCCATGTGGCTGCAACGGCCAGAGCTGCGCCTATCCAAAGCCAAGAGCAAAGAGCCTCTTCGGGTCTCACACGCGGTGCAGGATCCCAAGGCTTGGGGCCATCCTTGACTGCTTTCCCAGGCTACAGGCAGGGAGCTAGATGGGAAGTGGGGTTGCTGGGATTAGACCCGGCACCCGTATGGGATCATGGTGTGTGCAAGGACTTTAACTGTGAAGCTACCTTGCTGGACCCCAGAATTATTTTAAGTGACCAGTTTTGTGGCTTTTTTCTTTTTTGAAGATTTGTTTTCATATGAAAGGCAGTTTTCCAGGGAGAGGAGAGATGAGATCTTCCATCCACTGGTTCACTGCCCAAATGCCTACAACAGCTGGAGCTGAGCCAATCTGAAACCAGGAGCCTGGGAGCTTCCTCCAGATCACTCACATGGGTGCAGGGCCTAGAGATTTCAGCCATCCTCTGCTGCTTTCTCAGGCACTTAGCATGGCAGCAGAGCAGCCAGGACATGAATCTGTGCCTAGGGGATGCTCCCGTTACAGGCAGAGCCCAATCCAGTTGAGCCACTGCATTGGTCTATAAGTGAATTTTTGAATAAATGAAAAACTGAGTTGTACTTTAAGTGTATGAAATTCAGCTGGGAGTACTTTACTCTTAGATAAATACTATATATAAAACAGTTAAATATGTGCCAGTTTTAGAGAAAAATAAGTAGACTACTAAGCCATAGTAGTGTGGGAAGTGACTGCATTCCAGTCAGCACTACTGTGACTGTTAGGTGTGAGGATTGTTGGAAAAGATTTTTGTTGATTTTAGTAGAGGAAAGTATTATAAATTAATTGTACATTCATAGGCCAAACTGGTTGTGAGGATTTAAAGGCTTTTTGCTTCCTATGTAAGGCATACCTCTGGGCTTTTGTGGTTGAACTGATAACATAGCAGGAAAGCTGAACAGACCAGAAAGGTGCAGCATATTGAACAAAGTACAGTGCATTTAAATAAAGCTAAGGGCTATTTAATAATCCGTAACACTTTATTCCCTGGATCTGTCACTGCAGCAAATACAACATGGTGGATTTGCTTTTGCGCAGAACTTTCTGCTTTGATTTGGAGATGCTCACGTATCTAAGGAGTTCTGAAGAGGGCGCAGCAGCTACTTGTCTGCATCCATTCTTAGGAGGTCACTGTGTAGCTAAGGAGCCCTAAGTGAAGGACTATTGCTGAGTAGTAAAGCCAACCAATTCAAACAATGCTAAGTATTTGATCCTACCTGCTGATAATGAAGAATGAGGGGTTTTGTTTTGTTTTGCCTTTAATCATTGTTTTTACTCAAGGAGATGGATTTTGTATATCTGGATGAAAGCTTACGGATCAGTACTCCATCTGTAAATGAAGTTTTCCTGGACTGTTATCGGTCTCCTGCAGTATAGTCAGTCTCCTATCCAGGATGTTATGTTAGCAGATAACTTGCAAGAAATAAATTTTAAATTTGGATTTCTGGCCCTCTGTCATACTTGAATACCTCGAAAGGGGAAATAGCTCTACCGTTAAGAGTATTTTCCGTAACACACTTCTGTGAGTCTGAGCATTAGAACCACTGTTCTTGCAGGAATATAAATGTCCTTGGGGAAGTATCTTGAAATCCAGCTGTATGAAAATACCAGAGCACAGAGTAGTGGCTGGATGTCTACTTCTACCATGAAGTTGGAGGTAGTTATATAGGAAGATTGTAACAACATTCCAGAATCATTTATAGTTTAGTTGCCTACACAATGTGCTACACGGTGAACGTGGTTATTTTACGATAGCCTAATGTGTGGTAGGACTTAATGCAGTCCTGAAAGTTGGCCCTAGAGGGTGTTCGTAGGTCCCGGAACTTTACTGTTGGGGATTTTTTTGCGGGAGGAACCGGAAAGGAGGTGGCTTCCGTCGTCGCGATGCTGGGAGTCGGCAAGCTGCGCGCCTCCGGGGTTCGTCTTTTAGGAGCCGCTCGGTCCGAGTTCCGGCACGGCTTCTCCCGGACGGGTGAGTGTGCGCCGGCTTCGCTCGGTGCGCGGCTCTGCGCAGGCGCGGCGGGCCCCTCAGGTGGAGGTCAGCCTCCTGCTCTTCGGGGCGCCCGGGAAACGCTGGGGATCAGTGGTCCTGGCCGGGAAGAAGGCGTCCGTGCAGCCACCTCTGTGTCATTTAGAGGATCCCCCTCCCCGAGAGCCGGACAGCCGTCTGGAGTGTGCTTTGGTCGCAAGGTCGGGGCGGGAGAGAAGAAACGCCCGCGGTCTCCTGGCTTTTTCCACCGCGCAGTAGTTGCGATTGGTTCGCACGTGCCTTGACTTTTCAGAAGAACTTAAGGGAAATCCGTGGTTTCACTTCCCACCTGCTGGCCGGCTGGGAGCCAGGAAGTCAGGCCCTGTCTTAGGTGGGCAGGGACCCAACCCCTCGAGTCATCCCCAGCTGCTTGACGAGCTGGACTCGGAGCTGAGCATGGAACTCAGGCACCTCGTTATAGGATGTTAGCGTCCCAACTTGCCTCTTAACACTCTGGGGTTTTTAAAGGCCTACTCGTATACTACTTTTTTGATTAATAGGTAAATCCAATAGACTGTGTAAATGATGGAAATGACTATCTCCACTTACTGTTTGTGGATGACAGTCTTAACGGGCAGTGTTAACTAGGAAGCTAAGTTCATCCTTAGCACAAAACACTTTTAACATACAGTATTAGTAATATCAGGACAGAGTCGAGGTCAGGAATGTCACATGCGAAGCACAGCAGTGTAACAGCCCAGTTGGCATTTGTGAAAAAAAGTCAATAAAAGATAAATTTATTTATATTATTGCAAAATGGTTAGGGCGTCTTAATAAAGCAAGTTACAAATCAGTGTATACAATGAATGACCTTGAAATACACTTGTGCATCTATAGGCAGATTAAAGCTTTAGCAGTGATTGCCTATGGAAGAGCAGCTGATTTTCTACCATCCTTTATGTAGTTTTGTTTAAAAAAAACTTAAATTATATGTTTTTAGAAAAGATTCAGCATGAGCTCTTTCCAAAGTTTATAGCATGTAACTTCCTGTTTGAGATATTTAGACAACTGTCTAGTTGGCTGATTTTAGAAGCAGTTGAAGAGGCCAAAGGACACCTTAGGACTCTACTGAAGTTTGTTGGGAAAATTGGATTGTTCCTCAATACATAATTGGGTGGGGTGAGAGAGAGGCAAGGTGAGATGGCCTAATTAACCAGTCCTCTGTCTCCAAGTGTGGGGGTGACACATGGTGCCAGTTCATGTCCCTGCAGCTCCACTTCCCGTCCAGCTCGCTGTTTGTGGCCTGGGAAAGCATTTGAGGGCTCAAGGCTTTGGGAACCTGCACACACCTGGGAGACAGGGACGAAGCTCCTGATTCCAGGTTTTAGACTGGCTCAGCTCTGTTTGTTGAGGCCGTTTGGGGAGTGAACTAGCTAGATGGAAGATCTTTCTGTCTCTCCTCTGGGAATCTGCTTTTCCAATAAAGATAAAAATTTTAAAGTAAGTAAACTGTGTGAATGGAAGGTACACGGTGAGAAGCTGGTGAATGGCCATGTGCAGTTCCTGAAGCTGACCTTGTCCTGAGGACAGTGGAAGTTGCTCAAGGAGAAACAGGATCTGACTTAGGTTTAAGAAATAACAGCAGCTGGATGAAAAGTGAGACGAGTAAATCCAGGCTCTAGGGGAAATCTTAGAGTAATCCACGGATGGGTGGAGACAAACCATTGGCAAGGACAAAATAATCTGTTGCCTGTGTTGGTTCACCATCAGCATGATAACTGTTGATAAATGACTTTAGGATGAATTAAATGGGGGAAAATAATGCCATTCCTTTAAAATCTCAAACACCATAATGCTCAACAGATTCAAGGAAGAAAAGGGATCAGTAGCATTGTGTTTATTAGTACAAACTCAGTTGCTTTCACTTGTGGTGCAGTAGTTTTTCAAACTTTTGAGAATTCTGGCAGTACTGATCACTGAGATTTTCCAGAAGTAGGGGAGATGTGTGGCAGATCAGGGGTGGCTGTTGAGTAGAGGGCAGGGAACGTTAAAATCAAGAGGCTCAGTTCCAGAATAATACTCATAATACTGTAAATATCCTTAATCACCTTCTTTGTAACTTTAGATAGGCAAAGTTAGATATTATTTTAAAGATTTGTTTTTGTTGGAAAGGCAGATTTACAGAGAGAAGGAGAGACAAAAAGAAAGATCTTCCATCTGCTAATTCACTCCCTAAGTGCCCACGACAGCTGAAGCCTAGCAAATCCGAAGCCGGGAATCATGAGCCTCTTTTGGGTCTCCCATGTGGGTGCAGGGTCCCAAAGATTTGGGCCATCCTCAACTGCTCTCCTAGGCCACAAGAAAGGAGCTGGATGAGAAATAGAGCAGATGGGACACAAACCATTACCCATGTGGGAAATTGGTGCTTACATGGCAAGGATTTAGCCATTGAGCCATTGTGCCTGGCCCTAAAGTTAAATATTATTAAAGAAATAAATTGTTATACCCATACTTGAGGGAATTGCATAATTAAAAGCCTAGGAACTTTGAAAAAATATTGGAAGGAATTTGGGTCAGATAGCGAAGGATCTACTAAAACAAATGAAACAACAGAAAACAAAAAGAGAAGATAAATGATCATGTAGTTTCAGGACAGATGCTTAGCTTCAAGCTGTTTACGTGTGTTCAATCAGCAAAGATCAAAACATTGAATTGACACACTATCGGTGATGGTGTGGGGGGGGAGTCAGAGAAGTCTCATACACCAGGAGGTTAAAAAAAAATTCATGGAAAATGCATATTCTGGAAAAGTACATGAATTTCAAATTATTTTTGCACTAAGTATTTTTTATTTCTTTTTAAACAAATTTTGAAATACACTCATATTACTCATTATACTCACATTATCCATGTACTGGTAAGTTGGTTCAACATCTATGGGTGACAACTACAAACTTAAAAATCCATATATTCTGTAGCAGATTCTTGAGATTTTACTATGGGTACTTCAAACACATGAACATGCATATAAAATTTAGTCTCATGATTTTGTTTTTTTTTCTTTTTTTAATTTGTTTTTTATTTATTTTATTTTATTATTATTATTGTTTTTATTATGTGATACAGTTTTATAGGCACTGGGATTCCCCCCACCTCTCCCACAACCCTCCCCCCCATGGTGGATTCCTCCACCTTGCTGCATAACCACAGTTCAAGTTCAGTTGAGATTCCTTCATTGCAAGCATATACCTAGCATAAAGTCCAGCATCTTATTGTCCAGATAAGTTCAGTAGCCTCTTGGCGAGACCTTTTCTGGTCTGAAGGTAGAGCTAACAGGGTAAAGTTCCGGTCAGTTAAAAGCCCCAACAAAACATCAGCAACAATATACAATGTTATGGAATTAATTGACATAGTATTGAGTAAACAATATGTTAAAGATAATGCAAGTTCAATTCTTCAAAACACATGGGTTGAGACGGTATCAATGACAGGTTCAAAAACAAACAAACAAACAAAAATTATAGGTTAAATCAAGGCAAACATATGGTGTCTAACCGTTTGGGATTCGCTCATTTCCCTTAACATTATAGTTTCCAGTTGGGTCATGATTTTGTTAATAGCAAAAAATTAGAAATAACCTAAATGCCCATTAGTGGATGACTACATATATACATTATGATATGTCACACAATGGATTATCAGGCAGCCCTTAAAAGGGAACTCTTTATGCCATTTTATGAAACAATCTCCAAGAAAATTTTGCTGGAGAACAAGGTGAGCTATATTTTACTACCTTTTTTATAAAGTGAGACAAATTAATACACTAAAACAATTGTGTATAAAATGTCTCTGGCAGCTTTAATACAAATCTATTATCATAGATTGCCTACAGAAGAGGGACTGGTTAGTTATAATCAGGGTTGGTAAATATACTTTGTATGCCTTTTGTCCTTTTGTTTCTACTTCTAGTTTATGTATTTTCAATTTATTGGATAGAACCACAGATTTATTCCATTGGCTGGTTCACTCCTCAGTTGCTCACCATGGTGAGGGCTAGGCCAGACAAAGTAAGAGGTCTGAGTGAGGCCAAAATTAATAGGGTGACAAAATACCAAGTCCTTGATTTTCACCACTGCTTCCTGAGGTAGCCATTGGCAGGAAGCAGTGTCAGGAGCTGTCTCACATGCCAAGTGCCTACCAACCTTTTGTATTTTTAGTTTTCAAAAACTATTTTAAATTTTAAATTTTATGTTAGGTGGGGTTTACATAGTTGAAAAGGATGCATGTCCGTGTGAATTACTGATTAGAGTTGGAAGGATTAAGGAATGTGGGAAAGTGGATGAGACACTTGTTTCCAATTTTTCCCCCCTTCCTGTATCTGGAAGAAGGGGAGAGGGCTGCCCCCAGGAGCCTAACCACATCAGTATCCAGGGATGGGACATAGCCACTAAGTGTCATCCCCGGGTTCCCGATGTGGAACATGTTCCGTGAGTACTACCTAAGTGATTTCAGTAGTTCTAAGATGTTGATTTCATTGTTCCAAGGTTGATGGTCCCTCCAAAGTCTGTTGTCTGACAAAGGTTACCTTAGAATCTCCAGATAGTTAGAACTGTCCAGATAGTTGCTGCCAGACTTGGCCTGGAGAGTTGTCCAACTTTTCTGCCATCCATGGTACTAGATGTTCTCTATGGGCCTTAGTGATCTGTCATGCCCCACATGTGCATCTGGGTGTGCCGTCCACTGCATTGGTTTCAGCAACCAAGGAGACCCAGTTCTAACACATGCACTCCATAATCAGACTACAGACCTGTGATTTTTTTCCCTGTGGTTGGAGTTTTGAGATCAATAGTCTAATTGTGGAGCGGGGGTGGAGGAATAGCCACCAAAGAAACCTTGCTAGAGGTGACAGATGCAGTTCCTGCGTGGGGTCTGGCTCAGTCTGTCATCCACTTCAGCCTACACTGGTTGCAGTTGCCTGGTCAGTTTTGTCTCTGCCCCTGTCT